AGCCAGAACGTTGTCGTTGTTGGTTTTTGGTGGTGGAATACGCGTGTTTGTGACTCTGTGAGGCATGGTTGTTGAATCATCATGGCAGTGATGTGTTTGGTGATCTTTCGCTGCGGACAGACCAGAGGAGACAAGAATCTGCCTTGTGAGGTGCTGCACCGCCGTTGCAGGTCAAGCATGATCAACGAACCGTTCAACGATGCGCTGATGCAAGCTTGGGCCAGTCAATGCACGGAGGATTGCTTGCAGATGCTCAGACAGTGGGCGAGAACATTGCGAGAAGAACGAGGGAGCAAAGAGGCGACATGTTCGTGACGCTGGGCAGGGGGCAAGCCACAGTCTGCTGTGGCGCTGCTCTGTGCACAGCCACCGGTCATCGCCGGTTCCTGGTTGAGGTCGACTGGTCATTCTCGAGTTAAGCCCGGCCACCTTACTTAATCGAATACATGCTTATGTTATCCACCCCACATCATGATGTTTATGTCAGCATCCAGGAACACACCTCGAGAATCCACCATTTTCATTCTGAAGATTCAATGCTCACAATATGCACCCAGTCCACTGCGACTACGCATCTGCCGTCACTAGGTTCACGTTTCACTCTTGCGTCCGCCATCTCCCTGACTTGTGGGACGTTATTCCGTCTTCTTCCAAGGCCTAGACACTCCTGTTCAGCCGAGCAGCAGCATCCGTCGAGAACGCGGTGGCTGGGAAACCGTCTCCCGCCGCCTCTCATTGGCCAGCCCGCACCCGCCTCGGCAGACTAACCGATCCAGCCAGCGCTGTCTTGCGTGCTCGCCCCCTGTGTCCCCCCCGTGGCCCCCATCCTTTCAAGCCTGTGCCTGGCTCTGTGGCGCCTCTCTTCCCACCTTCCGTCCCAGCCAGCGCGTGGCTTCACGGGCCACCCCCGCCTACAGTGGACAGAGACCCCTGGCCAACCAGCAGCACTGGTGGAATTACCCCTGGTGACCCTGGATTCGCTCCAAACCGCCTTGGAACAAGAAACCACCACCACCACCACCAGAGTTGCGTCCCAACCACCAACATTTCCATCGCCAGCTTTTCTTGCGTGTGGTCCCTTTTTATCGCCCCTGGCCCTGTGAGCAACCATCCGACAAGTGTCTCCAGCCATCTGCGTTTGCTAGTGCACCGCAGTAAAACCACAATGGCTCCCGCTCCCATGTTTGCTTCTTCTCCCGTCCTGTCCCCTTCCCTTCTGCTTCTCCAGTTTTCTGTCATACATTGACGCCAGATCCTCTTCCGTGATCGATCGGCAGCCGCTTCTCCATCCACCGTGCGTCCTGTCTATCTGTCTGTTCCCGTCCTCCCGCCTGTCTGCATCTGCCAATTGAGAGCTTCAACCAGCAGAGCAGCAGCAGCACTCCAGACACCTAACAGCAGCAGCAGTGGCTGTTTGCTGCCTCTTGATCATCATCAAGATGCATCCTCCTGCCTCCCTCACCCTGCTCCTGTCCCTATCCACGACAGCAAACGCTTTCCCCATCCTCGACTTCCTGCTTCATCCCCGAGATAAGCCAGCAAAGTCATATTCCGTCGTCAACGTCGAGGGAAGTCCCAGCACCGGCTCTCCCGATGTCGTCACCATCACCAAGGAACCGGCCCAGGTGACCGTTACCGAGAGTGCCAGTAACCCCGTCACTCAGATCTCGTCTGCAGTACAGACGACAACGACCACGTCCATCATCGTGGTCAACGTTGATGGGACAGACGCTCCGACGACTGTGACCATCACCCCGACCCAGAAGCCTGCCCCTGAGCCAACATCAATACCACCAACAACAACACCGCCGCCAGCTGCTCCTCCGTCAAGCGCGGCTGCCCCCGAGCCACCAGTCTCATCATCAGACGCCCCCCAGCCGTTGCCTTCATCAGAAGCTCCTGAGCCATCGTCACCTTCATCCAGCACTCCTGAACCTGCTCCCTCGCCGTCTGCCGAGCCCTCGTTCTCATCAGAGACTCCTCAGCCGTCGTCTGTCTTGCCGAGCACTTCTCAGCCTTCACCATCATCGGAGGTCTCTCAGTCATCTTACTTAGCGTCAAGCACCCCCCAGCCATCCGCGCCGGCCTCAAGCACCCCTTTGCCATCACGCTCATCCTTCTCGACAACTTATGAACTGTCGAGCACCGTGGAACCAAGCTCTAGCCCGGCACCGATTACATCCGTCGACCCTTCTACGCCTCCCGCTGCACCGTCCACTTACACATCTGAGGCCCCTGTGTCCTCTTCACCCACGACGACCTTTGCCCAACCAAGCATTCCCAGCAGCAGCGCTCTCGAGGTTTCTTCATCGCCAGTCGTGTCTTCTACGCCCATCGTTGTTGTGCCTCCTCCATGGACAGAGACCCCGATCATCCCAACGTCAGCTCCCGCGACATCGGCAGCAGAAATCCCACCCCCTGCCCCAACACCATCCATCAACTCGACATCGTCAGTTTCGACACCAACTACCTCATCATCCCCTGCTTGGACACCCAGCCCGTCCACCAGCATGAGCAGCTTGCCCACTACCCAGCCCGATGATACTGCCGCCCCGACCACCTGGGCCCAAGAGACGACCACGCCTCTTCTCCCGTCAACCTTGCTCACCAGCATCGTCAGCGTAACCACCTCCCCCTCTCCCATCCCGACGTTTACCACCACCTACAACGACGGGTACTGGACTCACAGCTACGACGACGGCTATTGGTCAACCAGAAAGTACCCCGACGGAGAACCCACGCCCACTCCCGCGCTTCAATCATGAAGCTTCTCTTTTTCCTTTTTCTTTTATAGACGACGACTGATTATCAGACGATCCCCATGTTTCTGCATGCACGCGCCACGGCGCTATTGATTTTAACGCGTAAAGGAGAAAAGATTACACGTCTTATGGGGCACACGTACCTACTAACGAGACCTGAGAAATGATGGTTATATTCAGGGCGAAGCCGCCTTCTGTGTGTGTGCTGTGGTGAAAGGGGATTAAATCAGCACCGACCAAGAGCTGGGAACGCGCTGTCATCATTGGGTTTCCTAATGTTTAATCACATAGAATGTAAATAAAACATCACAAATCATTACTTACTCTTCGCTCCACCGATATCAATGTGCGTCGCCTCTCAGTGCCCTCCTCAGACCGTCAACTTGTTTGCTCAGGGCTTTCAGTGAGCTATCACCTCCGAGTCCGTGTAATTGAGACATTGCAGCTCACAAAACTTCCCGCCATGAAAGACACTCTCCAGCTCCCAGGCGAGATTCCCCCAACAGCGACTCCTCCCCGTCAAAGAAACCACAACCCGAACCCGCGACATTGGCTGCCACCCAACACATGGCCAAAACGTGGACCTCACGAGCGACGGAAGCCCATAAAGCCTTAGCTCCCGTCATGTCCTCCTTCCAGAACACCAAACACCAGTGCCCTCTCAATCATCTGGCCCGTACTCATCCTTCATCCACAAATCGAGCAACACCGCACCTTCAGACATGGAACCCAACGACAACACCAACAACCTTCCACACAGCTCCCACAGCCGCAACGACAACCTCACGCCTGCCACCACCAACGCCACCACCAAGCCCGACCCGCCGCCCGGCGTCGTAGCCGGCTCCCTCGCCATCTGCACCGCCTTCGTCCTCTTCGGCTTCGGGGGCTACTTCCTCTCCCGCTGGCTGCAGCGGCGCCGCGCTCCGCAGACGCCGAAAACCCCGCCGGGGTGGACCCGCCAACAGGTACATGGCGTGGACAGGACGGCGAGGGGGGAGTTTGGGGGTGCTGTGTGATGGTGAGTTTTGGTAGGCATGTGAAGGGGATCAGACTGACAACTCAGCCAGTAGAGATGTCCCCGATATCGTTGGCTTTGGCACATGGGACGCTTCGGTGCTGGGAATCACGAGCTTGATGTCATCGTTGGTAGTGAGTTGGGATATCGCGGTGTTTGCCTGAAAATTGGGGGATGCCGGTGGATCGCGAGGGATTTGCTTCCGTATATATCCGGTCAAGTCTTTGGGTTCTTTTCTGTTTGACAAGCCTTGGATATGCATAAATTGTTTGTTGTCTAGTGTACTCGTTGCAACTCGCGATGCTGGGGTTGTGATAGGTCGGAAGGGGGCTGGTAGCGTTGAGGCTAACGCAGCTAGAGACTTGGGCGACTCAACCAACTCACGCAACTCACGAACCGGTTCGTGGTGAAGTTGGCATGTGTTCATCCTGAAATGACCAAAAGAAAACTTCTTACTTGCCAAGTTTCATTAACTTCCCATTCACAGTCGTGCTTTTAGTCGGGTTCCTGCAGGATCATAGAGCTCTGCAACATCTTCAGTCCATGGTGCCGACTATCCGTGCCACAACGGATGGCTTTCTCGCAACAGTCTCTGTAGGCTAGGCCGCCCGCTAACACGGTGTAGTCGGACAGGCACCTAAGCTATTAGTAATCGACTACGGCCTGATTTCTCTCATACATGGTGTTTCCTGCACCTGCCACCTTAGCCACACGCGGCTGCAGAATCCGCCCTCTCCTCGGCGAGCGAGCTACGCCTCACGACCCAATGACAAGGCTACACGTTCATGAGGATATGTAACAGCTGACAGCGCAGCAGCTGGGATATCCCGTCCGAACAGCTTCGTCCGAAGAGAGTCTTATCGAGACGGGCGCGAGCAAACACTGATGAGCTGCAAATTTTCGAGAAGCACATGTCTAAGTGAGGACGGCGCATGCACATGGGAGGCTCATGTCATGTCTCAGCTATCATGCCATCATAGTCTCGTCCTGTGTCTACCTGGACCCATTGGCTCGGGAGTTGGCCCGCCAAGCTGAGCACCTCTGCGATGAAATATATAGGACTTGCGAAGGTTTCGTAGGGCTGGTCCGCGGCATGAGACGAACCACCCACCCTTCCTCATTCCTCGCACCGAGTCCTGGAGACCCGACTTTGTGGTTCATCTCAACAATCACACCCACCAAAACGCAAAGGAGTGCACACCACACCCTACTCTTCCAAAATGTCCCCCCAACCACACTGTGGCCGCAAAAGCGCCCTCCTAACCCTCCTCCTCTTCTTCACCATCCTCCTCCGCCTCACCGCCGCCGCCCCAGACCCATCCCCCCTCAACACAACCCTCGACATCTCTGCGCTCTATCAGTCCGCAGACGCCGACTGCGTCGGCTACGAGGGCCAGTGGAACTGCCTCGCGGATAAGTTTCAGCGCTGCACGGCCGGCAAGTGGACCGCCGCACTGTCGTGCAGCGCCGACGAGGGCACGCTTGACAGCAGGGACACGACGACGACGACGTGCTCGCCGCTGGGGAGGACGGATCTGGTCGAGTTCGCGGGGGAGTGCAGCGCGGCGTGGGGGTATGGCGGCGGCAGTGGATGGGGGAGCGGGAGCGGTGGGCGGTGTAATAGCAATGGGTGCTATTATGGTGCTGGGGCGAATTTGACGGTTGAGAAGTGGGTTTATGCGTTGGTTGTTGGTGTTGTTGTTTTGGGGTTCTGGTGAGAGGGGGTGAGTGGTGGTGATGTCTGAATAGTTGCGTTTCGGTGATGGAGGAGACTTGCCACTGGTCTCGGAAGGTGGGAGTAACACATAGACGTTCGCTGGTCAGCCTGTACGGTATGGTTCCTTTTGTTTTCAAAGCAAAGTCATTGTCTGTCGACGTTGTCTCATTTGTAACCTCATACAAACAGCATATTCATACGGATACAAGCCGATCTGCCAGAAAACACTCAAGTGCCGAACACATGGAAGCTACCACCCATCGTGCAGTTGGTGTGGTTGCTTCTTTCGTGCAACCGAAAGTCCGTTATCTTACCTTGATAATGTAAATAGAGAAGGATCATGGTGGGTTAGGGTATGCCAGTTGAAGCTGTCGATAGGCCATAACTGAATCATACCCACTAAAGTTGAAAAACTGTTCGCTGGCAGCAAAATCAGTAAAGAACTGAGCCAACGGAAATAAGAACTAAATTTGAGGCTGATCGTCTGACATCAACTCGGTTATCCGGAACGCGGACGACGGTCCACAGATCGTCCCCCCCGAGGCGGGTTTGCGCTATCGTGACGTCACCCCTTGGCGCATCACCGGACCAGGTTTGGGAGCGATGACATCGCATCAGCTTGTGCATCCGTTCGAATATTTATATTTCTTACATAGTTTTCTCTGGGAAGACACTTGAAACACAAACACGTCTTTCTGGACTCCTTTTCAGATTCAAAATATACCCGAAACATCACTCAACATGGCCGCCAACACCAACACCGCGACTCTCGACGCTGAGAACGCCTACCAGAGCCCTACGGTTCCCGCGACAAATGATGTAGCTCGCACCAACACAACTGCGACCACTGGAGCCGGCGTCGGAAGCACGGTGGGCAGCAATGCTCACGTTGCCGGCAACCCCGCGACGCACGCTGGCACTCACGCACCAGTCGGCGGCGGAGATGCGCCAACGACGCGGTCTGGAGGCATCGGGGGACAGATCAAGGGCGCACTCGCCCAAGGACATGTCAGTAGTTGGCAGCGGATCGTCGAGAATCGCATGACTAACAGCAGGTAGGGCGTTGGTGAGGTGCTGAGGGGCAAGTTCAACTCAGCGGTTGACACTGCGGCCGGCGACACCGCTGGGCAGGCCAAGAACAAGAACATCGCCACCGGCGGAGAGAGGGAGTTTGCGGGCAAGGACTTTGTCAAGAAGGGTACCCTCGACAAGGCACTTTGAGTTGAAAACCCGGACGGTCACGATAAGTAGCGTTTGCGTTATGATATACCCACAACATTGAGTTTGGATCTGTACCTTGAGAACCCGTCAGAGAGAATTATTCCGGAGAAAGAGGATTCTTCTTAATATCTAATTTCATGGCCCACGTCAACGTTCATTCATGTCCAATTTTGCCCATCCTCTTACATCATGTTCCAATGCACAAGAAACAACGCATTTACAAATATTTCAACCATGGACGCACCGATCAAACAGCCGGACGGCATTGGTAAGGGTCGAGACTCTGTCAAATCCATTGGTCTCGAAGACTCCCCCTTCGCAAAGCTACCATTGGAAATTCTCTTCCAAATATTCAGCAACCTCCGCCCACACGGTCGCTTTGTTCTGTCTCAGACTTGCAGAGACCTTCGGTATCTCACCCATACCGACTGGATGGCAACATATGCTAAGTTTCCGCGGGAGATGAAGGTGGGATTCTTGGCGGATCTTACCTACAACCAACCGAACCGCTGGCTATGTACGATTTGTATGAAACGTCACGGCGTCCGGGACTTCAGGAACATCGAAGAAAACTTCTATCGCGAGCTGCCCTGCCTGAGAAACCAGCGGAAAGGACACATGACCCACGCGCGCATACAGCTGGCGACGAAGGCTGTTCGACTCCAGCACCTGCTCACCAGTGAGCTCCGGCCGGAATCCCTGCTGAAGCCCAGGTATTTACCTCAAATTCGGTTGTCCAGTTACATGTACGAACCGCTTCTGAAGGCGGTGCCGAAGGTTGTGGACGGGAGGTTTCTCCTGTTTGTCGAGTTCAACTTCGTGTGGGACAAGCGGCAGGAAGCACCGGCGCCGACAGATCTTCTCGAATGCCATTACCCATTTTGTGCTCACCTGGGAACAGATGCCCGCCATACTGGCCACCGTGGAAACAGATCTCTCTTTGGTTCGAATGCCGATAATAAATATTTTGAGCAGCTTGTGGAAAATGTTACTTTGCTGAGGCACGTAGAAATCGTCAATGGTCGTTTGTCTCACCGGGTTGAAATCCGTTCGCCTGCTTCCCCAGGCGCCGATTTGATGGGAACAATCGGCAAAGCCTTTAAAAAGCCTGGACAAGAGTGCAATGATCAGTGCGATATCTGCCTGACTGACTACAGTATTCGGGCCGAGGCAGGCAGACTGATATGCCGAGCTTGGATCGACTACGGGACTGGCGATTCCCCAACGGACGATGAGTGGCAGGTGCAATTTGGAAGCGAACTGATCATACCTCACAAGGCTGGCAGTGTGAGACAAAGATACGAGAAACAGAGTTCCGCTTTCAAGAGACATGCCGTAGAGGGCAGCATCTTTGGTTGAGGACCCGAGGAATTGCTTAGCATATCATTCAGAAGATTTGCCTTGAAATGATTAGAATTGCGACTGGATGAGCTTGTGGACTTAGATGATCAAGCGAAGCCCGGGTTGTCGCCCTCTGCAAAGTCATGGATGCCTGCTAGAGGGAGGCTTCACTTAGGATTCCTTTGCCGACACAGTAATTAAAACAAAACATAGCAGCGCAGGAATGTCTTAAAAGATATTGTCAAATAACGACAAGCTGATGCATGAATTAGAATAAACATCTAGTCAATACTGCCATGTTCCCCTCCATTGATCTCTGGAGCACTCTTCTTTTGTTGTTCTTCCTCTAGAGCGTTGATCAACCAGTCGTCTGCCTACCAATTGGCATAAACTGTGCCCTCATATGCTTTTAGACTGATACCATCTCTGTCGATGCTCTTCGAGGTGCTCCCAAGCAACCTTTTCCATCCATCAAAACTAGGTCCCAACTTCAACACTTGCTCTCGATCGGAAAAGTTGAGCAAGACCGCCGCTGTCTTCCCATCATAGCTCGTCATGGTATATACGTATACATCCTCACTGCCATCAAACTGACCAACTGTGTCGAACCGACCGTAAACAAACACATCCTTCTCCTTGCGCCGCATGTCCAGCACCTGTCTCCAGTATGCCAATACACTATCCTCGTCATGTTCTTGCTGCTCAACATTCCACTCGTCGAAGTCGTCATTGACGCGCATCCACGGCTTGGAGCCGTTGGTAAACCCGCCATGCTTCTCTGCCGTCCACTGCACGGGCAGTCTTCCGTGATCTCTCGCCTTCAGCCTCATCTCCCTCATTACGTCGCTCATATCCGCGTTGGGGCCGCGCTTCTGGCGCACACTGTCGTAGTAGTTCTTCCCTTCGACATCGATGTAGTCATCGACGGTCCACGACTCGGGCGCGTTCGCCATGCCGATCTCCTGTCCCTGAAGAAGGAATAACGTGCCGCACAAGGTGCCGAGATGCGTCGCCAGCATCTTGGCCGCAGTCTTTCTGTATCGGGGCAAGTCGGACGCGTATCGCGAAAGTGAGCGGCCAGAGTCGTGGTTATCCATATAAATCGCATTCCATCCATCGCACCTAATCATCGCCTTCTGCCACATACCAACAATATGCTTGAGCTTCGAAAGGCGGAAGTCGTCGCGCTCGTACTTGTGGTTCGGCCCAAAGTCCATGTCGACGATGTCGCCTGTAAACAGCATGTTCAGCTCGTGCCTGTCCCTAGCAACGTAAGAGGCCACACTGGCTTCGTCCTTGGTGAAGCCTAGCTCCCCGACCGTCATGCAGTTATACTTGTCGAAAACCTTCTCCCGCATCTCGCGGATGTACTCGTGCATGCGCGGGCCGCTGGCGTAGTACAGCGCTCCGGGCTGGAACTCCCTGTCCGGGAACGCGACGGGGGCGTCGGGGAGGTCGGGGTGTTTCGACATGAGGTTCATGGAGTCGATTCGGAAACCATCGGTGCCCTTCTCTAGCCAGAACTCCATGTCCGCGTACGTGGCGCGGCGCATGTCCTCATTAGCCCAGTTGAGGTCCGGCTGAGAGGGCAGGAAGAGCGAAAGGTAGTATTGGCCTGTGTGCTCATCCCAGGTCCAGGCACTGCCGCCGAACAGGGAGGCCCAGTTGTTGGGTGGTTTGCGATTTCCATCTGGGTCGAACTTGGGATCCCTCCAGAAGTAGTAGTCTCTCTTGGGGGATGCTCGAGAGGATCTAGATTCGCGGAACCATTCGTGCTCGTCGCTGGTGTGGTTGACAACTAGATCGAGGAGAACTTTAATACCCCTCTCGTGGCAGCCCTGGATCAACGTCTCTGCATCTTTGATTGAGCCGTAGGGTTGGTGAATCTCCCTGTAATCTGAGATATCGTAACCCATGTCATTCTGAGGGCTCTTGAAGATGGGTGAAAGCCAGATGGTGTCGGCCCCGACCGACTTGATGTAGTCCAGCTTCGAGATGATACCAGGAAGATCACCTAGACCATCTCCATCAGAGTCCAGAAAGCTGGCTGGGTATATCTAATAAACGACAGCTTCCTTCCACCACTCGCGCTCAGGGGGACTGTGCGTTGCCGGCATGACTGCTGCGATGGCAAAAAGAAGACGGAAGAAGTTGAAGGACTGGAACTCGAATCATCGAATACGGGAATCAGTGGACGTAGCGACGGCTCTTATGTTCACATTGAGGCTCTTAGCCGGGACGTCTAATACCTAGGTACCAACATGCGGTCCGGATCCCGGCGGGGTAGACACGGACGATGGGGTTTGCTCGGGTGAAATTTCGAGGCTCGGACGGGTGAATTATGATTCGTTGGGCAACGCCACTTCGCGGAGACTAGCGTCATGGCCTTCAACATGAGCATGAATTTCGGCAGAAACAACACCAAACAGTTCGGCCGTGGGTGAACTTCAACTTACGTGATTTTGAAGATCGATCTGTCGTTAGAATATCCGCAATAAATCACATCAAAATCCTTCCACTAAGACTCAAAACAGGTCTCGCTGAAATTTTCGGTCATAGAGGCCAAGATCTGGATCATTAAGTTGTCACTTGAGAAAGTGTGGCTTTCGGGGCATCGCCGATAGCCTTTTTTCAACATACTAGTTACGATTGGAAGGGTGGTTTACAACAGCGTCAATGATCGGTTCGAACATTAATAGCAATAACAACAATAGGGGCAACAGGACTAACGAGGATAGTTATGGTGACAGTTATAGAGACGAAGGCAACAAGGACAATAGAGACGAAGACGACGACGATGACGGCGACGACGGCGACAAAGACGACAGCAGATACGACAGCAAGAGGGGCTACAACAGAGACCACGGCGTCAATAAAGGCGAGGTAGGCCATTTGTTTACCGAAAAAATGTACGAAGACGCCTGAATATCAGAAGGTATCCAGAAGTTAGCAATATCTCAGGCTTGATACGCACTTATTCCATGCATGTGGTAGAATTATGTTTAGTTGCAACTCTTGCGACAACCCCCTTCACCACCATCTTCCTCACTTTCACCGCAAAAGCCGGTGATAAGTATTCGAAGACATCTGTCATCAGAAAGCCTGGATGCTGAGGATCAAACCACAGAATCATTCTAGGGTCTCGCTTCTATGCATCCCGTTGGAGCACTCCTTCGATCGTGTCACGAATTCGCAATGGGATCTTTCGACAATGCAGGATGTGAATGTGAGATAACCAATGACAGTTCAGCCGTGCTCTGCAATTCAGCGATTATTTTAGCCAATGGTAATTCACCCATTTCTCCCGCAGCCTCTTTGCAGGGATCTTAACCAATCGAAATTCAACCATTTCAGCCGAAGCCACCCCATCGGGAATGCCATGGGTATGCTATGAGGTACAGCATCGCCGACTTACACAGACGATATCTCTTCTTTCCACAGAGAAAACCAACCTTTTTCTCTCTCTATTGCGAGAAGTCCCAAATTCTTGGAGACGCTAGCGATGTCTCTCCAGGAAATCTCCTGTTCCCCGTGGGGACTGGCACCATACCTCGTGCCGTCGGGGGTGGATCGGAGGCCGAGCACCCAGAGGCAGTGTCTGTGTAAGAGGCTCAACGGAGTTGATATAAATCGTCGCTGTTTCTCGTCTCTTTTCAGCGACACCCTCTTCATGCGCCCGAAACATCTCAACAAACCCTAATCTTTCTTATACCCTCCAGCTTTAAGTAGCCCTTCATGGCCACCAAATCGACCGAGTTGGCGATAGCCAAGTCTCCTTCTGCCAACCACATCGAAAAGTCTGGTGCCGACGTTGACGAGGCACTCAAGGTCACCGTCGACCAACCAGACCTCACACCTAAGCAACAGTACCAACGTCTCTGGGCCAACCTCAAGAAAGATAAGCGATATGTGTTCTGGGCTCTGTACATCATGTCCCTCGTCTTCGGATGGGGGTATGATTCTGGTCTGTCAGGCGTAGCTATCGCCTTCCCTGAATTCCGCGAGGCCTATGGCAACTACTACGCGGCAGGAGACCAGTTCGTTATTCCTGCCCTTTGGCAGTCGCTCTGGAACGCGGCAAGTACGATCGGTCAAGTGCTTGGCGCTTTCCTCACCGGTCAGTTCGCCGACTATACCGGCCGAAAGGCCGTTCTCTGGACCGCCGTTATTCTATCCTGGGCGGCGTCCTTTGCCCTCGTCTTTGCCCCTAGTCTCCCTATCCTTTTCGTCTCGAAGCTCCTCTTGGGACTGTCCGTCGGCTTGTCGACAGCCACGCCTCCTCTATACGTTACCGAGAACGCCCCGGCCGCCCTCCGAAGTACACTCAGCTCACTCACCAACGTCGTTATTGTTCTTGGCTTTTTCCTTTCCTCAATAACTGGGTGGGGCTCGTCGAAGATTGACGGACCCTGGAGTTACCGCCTGGCGTTCGTCATGACCTTCCTCGTCCCGACATTATTCGCCATCGGACTGCCGTTCCTACCAGAGTCGCCGGTCTGGTACGTCAAGAAGGACAGAGACGACGACGCCAGAAAGGCGATTCTAAAGCTTTACGGCAAGAACATTGACGTAGAAGAGCGGCTCCACTTTATCAAGTCCGAGTTGGAGACCGAAGCGGGCGAAAACACCGCCGCCAGCCAAACCAGCTGGAAAGCCATCTTCACGAAAGAACACCGATACAGAACTCTCGTTGCTGTGCTCGGTTTGCAAGGGCAAAATTGGAGTGGCGGGTACTTTGCGGTTCGTTCAAACTCAGTCTATTTCGTGATTTTTGAGGTTGTGGTGGTGTTGTGGTGGTGATAAAACTGACTGGGCGCAGAACACATACCAGACATACTACTTCGAACTCATCGGCCAATCGGATCCCTTCGGACTTACTGCGATCTCTTCGACACTGCAATTCCTCTCTAACTGCGTCGCTGTCTGCGTTTCTGATGTTCTTCCTCGTCGGAAGTCCCTCGTTGGGGGTGGCGCACTGCTATGCTGCTGGTCGATCATCATCGGTGGCACGTCTCTCGCTGGGACGGCCAACAAGGCAGCAAACATGGCTCTGCTCGCTTTCATGATTACATGGTCCATGCTCTACACTGCTACAGTCGGATGCTTCGGTTGGGCAGTCGCTCAAGAGACTGCGTCTCAAGCGACGAGACCCAAGACGATCGCCTTCACGCTCGTATGTCAGCAGCTCACAGCCCTCTTGCTGTCGTCGGTCTTCCCCTACTTTATAAACCCGGATCAGCTCAACTGGGGCGGAAAAGTCATGTTCCTCTTCGTCGGCGCCGAAGTATTCATCCTCGCCTTGCTGTTCTGGTTCCAGCCAGAGACGAAGAACAGGACCTACCAGGACATCGACTTCCTCTACGCGAATCGCGTCCCTCCCCGAAAGTTCGACAATTACGTCGTCGCGGACGGTGTTCTTATTGAGAAGGCACGTGCTTGAGTGTATGAAGCCGCCACGGTGCAGCATACGGCGGAGTGTGCTCCGAAACATCGCTCTCGGTTTAGATCTGGTATTATTGGTAGCCACATGTTAATGGGAAGCTTTTGATCCTCATTGTCGATGGGCAGAACTCGCCCTCATTTTCGCTGAATAGTGAATCCAAATTTGACTCGTGGGGTAACCTCTCTCCAATCGGAAACCGATGCGCCAAGTCTAAATCTAGACCCAAGACGGTCTAGACTTTAAAGGGGGACCAAGCCCACCAACCCCAGGTTACCATAGAATCTCGTCCAAGTGAGAATCCGCACCCCCCTGCCCCCCCACCTATACTAACCCAAAACACCACCTTTTCCGACGAGAGTACTACCCCTCGAAGCCCATAAATCAGGCCTTTTTAGTAGGTAGTAAGTCTCCCTCCTCTTATTATTATTCCTATGCGATATAGCGATTTTCCCTATTTCTTACGATACTATACTTATCGCGTTTATATTAAGATAGCTATAGTGTATACTTTTAGTAATAAGATTAATCCTAATATTAGCTTAGGTCTACCTCTCATACTACTACTAAAAGTATAACCTAAGCCTAAAGTTATACCTCACTAAGAGAAGTAGTATAATATAATAGAGCTATACTGCTACCTTAATTATACCTATTTTATATATAAGTAGTACTAGGTATTAATATTCTTAGAGTACTATTATATATAGATTAGGTTTAGCTAGAAGTAATACCTCTATAAGGGTGAGAGCTACTTTAATAGTAGCTACTATTAACCTATATATAATAAGGCTATAATATAGTTTTTAATACCTATAGTAATAATCACTTAGTAGTATTTAACATACTAAGAGATATTTAACTTAGGCTTATACTGCCTTATATATATACCTAATTTCCCTACCCTTAAGGCTACCCTATATTAACTATTCTTAGATTAATATATTATAGCTAGGATTATTACTACTAGATAGTTCTACTGAATAGCTTAAGACCTATTTAGGTATATCTATACTACTACTAGCGTTTTAGGTCTTTTTACCTTTTTATATAGCTAGTTTAATAGCTTCTACTACTATTAAAATATTAGCTACTATAGGCTTACTAAGTAGGCCTCTAAGTTACCCTCTAAATATATTAAAATTATTAATAGCTTTCTATAGTTCTACTACTATATTAACTAACCCTCCCTCACATACCTACTACTAAACCCCTATAATATACCTACTAAAGAGGCTAACTAGTACTTTCCTTATAGTTATATCCTTAACCTTAATAAGACCCCTATCCCCTTTAAGTACTTTAATAGATTAACTTAGGTAGTCTTTAGTAGTAAAACTATAGCTAGTAAAACTAACTATAGTAGTTAGAGTAAGTAATAGGCTATACTAATCCTATATATCTTTATAGATAGGGTCTAATACCTTAAGCTTAAGCTGATTTTTCACAGTAAGCCTTCTAATTTAGGCGGTTAGATTGAGGCTAGTAAGGGCTACCTATATAGTCCTAACATTACTATTAAGTTTAATAACACTGCGTATAATAATAAGGTCTCTTTTACTTACTAGATTAATAATAAGTATAGCTTTATTACTGCTAGTAGGAAACATCTCCTCGTTATAGATGTTGCTAGCTTTTATAAAACCACTCTAATTGCTAAGAAACTTAAAGATCTAAGTATTATGCCTACTTTAATCCCCCTAGGTATAATATCACTCTTATAACTACTTAATACTACTGTTAATAAGCTGTTTAAGTAGTAGCTTACTGAGGCGATAGAAGAGTATATACTTAATGAGGAGGCTACTACTACTACTGCTAGTACCCTATTTATATAGTTAGTCTTTAAGAAGTATATTATAATTATTTAGGCTGTTACTACTACTACCTATTACTTAGCCCTTAAGAAAGTAGAGATAGTGTAGAAGGCTTTTATTTAATATAATATTAGTATTAATCTAAATAGTAGTAAGATTAAGAAGGTTTATATTAAGGATATCCTTACTAAGTTAATTAATTATATAGACTAAGAGAACTTCAATTATACTACCTATATTAAAAAAGAAGTTATTAATAAAAAAATTCCTAATGCCTATATTTAAGTAGATATTAATTAATATATTACTACTATAGAGGAGGTTTTATAAGGTATTTATAGCTTAGTTTTTACACCTATTAATATACCTCACTTATCTTAGCTTTCTTATTAACTTAGAAAAAAATACTTATAGCCTCTTGCTACTTATATTTAATCTTAAGCTTCTTATCCTACTTCTACTACTACTTACTTAGTTATTTAATAAAGTATTTAATACTCTACCTAGCTAGTAAGGCTAGCTCTATAGTACCCCTATTATGCTCTCTAACCTAGCTAAAATACTAGTTATTATTAGCTTTACTAGTACTATATAGGGTGAGAGATATACCTATAGGTATGTTAGCACAGGTATAAGCGTATTCAGGGGCGTGGTATATACGCCTATATAGTATAGGGTNTTATAGATGGGCTTATGTTATGATAAAAGGTGATAATCCTGAGCATTTATGGGCATTTAATCGTATAGATAATAATAAGGGAATTGATGTATTGTGATGACTCTGGTTGTTGTTGCTTGTGTTGTTATTCGCAGGTTTCCTCCTCTAGTAGGGAAAAGTGAGGGGAAAGATAATCTGAAACGTAACCTGCTAAACTGCTAATTATATAAGGTGCTTATGTAACTATACGTATTACATAATCAATATTATAGTTATAGGTTATAATAAATAGAGTATTTTTATATAAGGTTTTATACCTTAAACTTTATTTATTTATTTTATATAGAATATTAAAGTAAGTTAAGCGTTATTATTATTCTTATATTATTATTATTATTATAAAAGAATGTTATATATTAACATCCCCCCTTAAGGTATATATGGTTGATTTATAATATATAGCTTACTCACTTAATATATATATACGTTATAAGTATAAAAAACTTAAAAACCTCGTAGGAAAAATAAGAAAAATATTCCTATAATATATATAATATATCATAACTAGTTAAAAAACTCTTATTAAATAACCTTATAGGTAAAAATATAAGAGAAAAACTNATAATATGTTTATAACTAGTTAAAAAACTCTTATTAAATAATCTTATAGGTAAAAATATAAAAGAAAAACTAGTAAGTTATTTCTTTAATGCGGTTATTATTATTATTATCGTTATTATTATTATTATTGTTATCATTATTAATTATATTCATTATAGTATTAAATATAACTTTGCCTACAGGCTTAGTTAATATATCCGCAATATTAGACTTAGAGTCTATATGAAATAACATATAATCTTTATTTAATAAAGATTCTCTAGCAAAGTGATATTTTATATCAATATGCTTAGATTTCTTATGAAATTCAGGATTTTCAGCTAGCCTTTTAGCTGCTAAGTTATCTATAAAAATCTTAAGCTTTTTAATAGGATTAAATCCTAGTTTATTTAAATTATAGTTATAGTTATTATATAGGTATAAAGCCTCTTTAACAGCTTCAATTAAAGCTATATATTCAGCTTCACAAGTAGATAAAACTATAGTTTTTTATTTTATAGTACTATAAGACACTATATTATATAAACCCCAGCAAAATATATAAGCTGACGTAGATTTTCTATTATCTAGGTCTCCAGCCCAGTTAGAGTCTGAATAACCTATTAAATCCCAAATTTTATTATTACTACAGTTATAATATATTCCTTTATTAGGATATTTATTTAAATAACCCTATAGGTAATCTAGAGCTATAAAATGCTCTTTAGAAGGGTTTGTTGTATATCTTGATAATATTATAACAGCTAGAGCTATATCAAATCTAGTTTTTAAAGCTAGATATAAAAGTGCTCCAATTTGCTGTTGAAACTGTAGAATTTCTTCTTTAGAAGCATAATATTTATTTATATATAGTTTTATATTATCTCTCATAGGAGTTATAGATGGATTTATATTTATTTTATTATATTTATTTAATATTTTTTGTGTATATTTAGTTTGATGCATAAAGAAAGACTTATTAGGTCTATCTATTTCAAACTCATAGCCTAAAAAGGTACTAGGCTCCCCTAATATTTGTATTTTTATATATTGCCTTAATATATTATATATATAATCACTAGTAGCAGTATTATTAGCTGCTAGTAATATATCGTCTATATGGTAACATATTATAGCTTTATAGCTATTTTTATTAAGTATAAATACTGCTTCATCATAAGGTGAAACAATAAATCCTAATTTTATTAATATAGCTTTTAAGTGGTTATACTACAGTCTAGGGCTTTGTTTTAACCTATATAAAGCTTTAATAAGCTTACAGCAATATTTATTATTATTAGACTTATAGTTATAATTAGGATTAAATTCCAACTTATTAGTGGTTTTATTATATAAAAAACCTGTTGGTAATATTATATAGATATCTATATCTATATTAGCGTGTATAAACGCTGTAGTAACATCATACTGTAGAAGGGTCTAACCTTCTTTTATAGCAAATATTACTATAAATCTATAGCTCTCAGGTCTACAAGTAGTAGAAAAGGTTTCTAAGTAATTAATACCAATATATTGATTAAAACCTTGAGCAACCCATCTTGCTTTATATTTATATATATTATTTATTTTATCTTTTAATTTCATAGTATATACCTATCTACTGCCTAATAGATGAATATTATCTGGTTTTTGTATAATTTCCTAAGTTTTTATATCTTCTATTTGAGTTACTTCTAGTTGCATAGCCTGAATCCAATTATCTTTATAAGGAGAATTTAAGGCTTGTCTTATAGTAGAAGGCTCGTCTAATGTAATAACTGATAGTATATAAGAAGCTTTATCGATAGTACTGGTTCTAGTAATACTATTATTATCAGTTATAACGTTATTATTTATTTTATATATACTAAGAGCAGGGCAGTCCTGAATAGTAAATAATAGTGCACTTTCGGTATTATTAACCGTATTATTAACCCATTGGTAGTCTTTTTTAGCTTCTTCTGATAGAGAGGGGATCTCTATAAGTAACTTGGATTTTTCTTTATTTATTTCTCTATTATTAATACTAGTAGTTTTCATACTATCATTGTGTGAACTACTCATACTAGTATTGATCTTATTATTATTGCTATTATTAATAGTATTATTATTATTTATATTTATATTATTATTACTATTAATAATAGTCTCATCATTTAGATTCTTAAGAGCATTATTAGTTATAGCAATATCTCTACTTATAGTAGGATTATTACTATAAGAGATAGATTGACTAGAAATATCTCTTAGTGGACTATTATGGGCAGTATTATGTCTATCATTGTTGGGCATAATACTACTATTTGTATCCTTAAAGCGGGTATTTATGCTTATAGGAAGCTCTTTATGATGAGAAATAAAGGTATTCTCTAGGATTTCAACGTCTCGAGACCATAAGGCTCTTCTTAGTTGCATATCCCAGATCTTATACCCATTAGATCTATAATTAATTATATAACCTTGACGTGCTCGTACGTCTAGTTTTTTAATAAGTGGATCTTTATTCTTATAATAGCATACGCTACCCCATACCTTTATATTATTAATATTAGGTTTTATATTATTCTTTATTTCATAAGGCGTTTTATACTCAATAGAGCTATGAGGAGTCCTATTATGCATATAAAGAGTAGCATAGAAGGCTTCACCCCATAAGTAGTGTAGTAAACCTGAATTATATAGTAAGGTTCTTATTTTATTAACTATAGTGCGTATAGTACGCTCTATAAGTCCGTTAGGTTCATGCGTATAAGGAGGTCTTTTATTATATATTATACCGCTTTTAGTGCATATAGCTTTAAAGCGTTCATTATCAAATTCTCTACCTCCACCAGTAGATATTTCTTTTATTCTTTTATTATTATTATTATTATTAACTTCAGCTTGAAATTCAAGAAAAGCTTCACTAATAGTATGCTTCTCTTTATCTTTAAGTAATTTTCCCCATACAAAACGGGTATATTTATCTATAAAGATAATAAAAAGGTTATATTTATCATAAGTAGTAGGCGTTATAGGCCCACATAAATCTGAAGCTATATAATCTAGATAATCTAGATTTTTGTTATGAACCTGTTTTTTACTAGCCTTAGTTATAAATTTGCCTTGATAACAGGCTTTGCAGGGCTGTAATTTATTATTATTATTATTATTATTTATATCTATATTTATAATAGTATTATCCTTTAATTTTAAAAGGCTTTGTATATGTATATGTCCTAGACGTTCGTGCCATAGTTGGAGGCTATTATTATTATTATTATTATTATTATTTTTATTATTTATATTATTATTATTTGTAGTATTGTATATATAGTTATTGTTATTATTGATANTAGGAAATTAGAAGAAATATAAGTTATTTCGTTTTGCCCCTATAGTAATAATACAATCTTTATTAATATTATATAAAATAAGTTATTTCCATATAATAGAAGCAATACCTAAAGAATCTAGCTTAGATTGACTAAGTAGATTAATACCTAGTTCAAGTATATAATAAACGTCTTTTAATATTATGTTATTATTATTAGGATATATTATTAAGTCACNTATATTATTATTATTAAGATATATTATTAAATCACCCTTTATAGTAGAAGTAAGAGTTTTTGCTTCTCCCTATTTTATTATTTTATTTATTTTTATAGGATTTTTTATAAGGTTATAATTATTAACTATATAAATAGTAGCTGCAGTATTAATATAAAAATTAACTGTTTTTTTATTTTTATTATTATAACTCTTTATTTTTCCTTTTTCCTTAATAAAAGATTAGTTAATTAAATAACTTAAGGAAGGATTATTAGTATTATTATTTATATTATTAGGAGCAGTATAGCTTATATTCTTAAAGAGAATATCTTCTTCTTCTTTATTAGAAGATAAATCTATTAAATCTATAGGATTTTTAGGATTATTAATAGATATATAGGGGGTAATATTATCTATAGTAGTTATATTAACTACTTCTTTTTCTTTATCTTTAGCATTAGTAGTACTAGTAGAGGGCTTTTTCCACTAGCTAGGTGCTTTTTCAGGATATAGAAAAGCGCAGTTTTCTTCAGTATGGTTTGTTTTCTTATAATTTTTGTAGTATAAACCTTTCTGTTTTTTCTAGGGTTTTTTACTTATTTTATTTTTATCTTTCTTTTTATTATTTTCCTAGTTTTTATTTTGTTTTTTATTTTTATTACCTTTAGTAGTAGTATTATTAATTACTTCTTTGCCTCCTTTTCTCTTATACTTATCTATAAGACTAGTATATAAAGAGTCTAGGTTATAAGCAGAAGGGTTAGTCCTAAGAGACTAAGTTATAGAGGTTATAAAAGCCTTATAAGTCTTATTTAGATTATTAAGTATATAAGTAATAACTACTTAATCTAATAGTTTAAGCTTATTATAAGATAAGTTATCTATAAGTTCTTTTATTTTATTTATATAATCTTCTATAAATTTAAAGTTATCTAAGGAGGTATTAAAAAACTCTTTATAGGTTAAAAACTTATTTATAAAACCTATAGGCTTATATAGGGACTTTAGATAATTCCAAGCTGTATAAGCGTCTTTATCATCTTTTATAACCCTAAGTAGACTATTATTACAGAATAACTATATATAACTTAAAGCCTTATAGTTTTTATCTAAATTATCTTTAGATATAGGTTTAGTAAGGTCTATAGTAATATTTTTATTATATAGTAGGGCTTTTATATATATAGCCTATACTTTATAGTTCTTAGAGCTTATAAGCTTAGGGAATTAGACCTTAGGATTGGTTATTATTACCTTATTGCTATGCGATGCGTAGTTGCAAGCCTTATAAAGGTTAAACGATAGTGAGGTTATATAACTAAAGAGCTATTGTACGTATAGTATAGTGGTTCTTATAGTAAAGTTATAATAGTTGTAAACCTAGAGGGTCAGGGTTTAACTGATAAAAAGAGTGGTTTTTATTCCTTCTCTTTAATTAATATCTTCTTTAGCTAGACTTCTGTTAGACTGAGGAGATATATATCCTATATAGTAGATTGGTTGAGAGGAAGTCTGTTGTGCCGTAAGTATAGGTCTAAACCAGATTGGGAGTAGACTAGAGGATAGTTTGAAGAGATAATCTGAGGGATATAGATTGAATAAAGTAGTAGTAAGAGACTGTCTGCTTAAAGAAGGATTGATAGAGGTATAGTTGATTTGTATAGGATTGGTTATATAGATTCGTAAGAGGTGTATCTCGTGGAACTAAACTACTAGTCTAGCTAGTATATCAGCTTCTGCGTAGGTAGTATGGATAGAAAAGTGTTTAAAGGATCGATTTTTGGTATATATAACCCTTAAGTAGAGGTAGGGCTTTATAGGTAGGTAGGGGAGAGGTAAAGAGGTAGAAGGAATAGAGGTTATCTCTGAGCTGGGCTTATAACCTGTTAGCATAGGTATAAGCGTATTCAGGGGTGTGGTATATGCGCCTATATAGTATAGGGTTATAGATGGGCTTATGTTATGATAAAAGGTGATAATCCTGAGCATTTATGGGCATTTAATCGTATAGATAATAATAAGGGAATTGATGTATTGTGATGACTCTGGTTGTTGTTGCTTGTGTTGTTATTCGCAGGTTTCCTCCTCTAGTAGGGAAAAGTGAGGGGAAAGATAATCTGAAACGTAACCTGCTAAACTGCTAATTATATAAGGTGCTTATGTAACTATACGTATTACATAATCAATATTATAGTTATAGGTTATAATAAATAGAGTATTTTTATATAAGGTTTTATACCTTAAACTTTATTTATTTATTTTATATAGAATATTAAAGTAAGTTAAGCGTTATTATTATTCTTATATTATTATTATTATTATAAAAGAATGTTATATGTTAACAGGTATATTAGGAGAGGAGGGTTTTTAGAAGATAAGTTAGTACTATTATTATACCTTAAAGTAAGAAGAATTAAGGTAGTTATTAGTTATATCTTATTAATTAGTATAATCTCTACTTAATAAAATATAGCTTTTTTTAGGTACTTATAGATAAGGTTAATCTACCTAAACTCCTCTATTTTTAATACTATATATAAAAATATAAAAAAAGCGCGTTTTTAGCTATATATACTAATACTATAAGTCTTAGAATTCTACTGTTTTTTAGCTGCTACTACCCCTAACTTAAACCCTAGCTACACCCCCTACTACCCCCTACTAAGGCCCAATTTATGCCTCCACAGCCCTCTACAGCTAGCCAATCAGTCAAGTTAGCAGGGGGGTGTAGATTCTCACTTAGACGAGATTCTACAGTATTCTTTGCGCGTCACTCGTATTCGCAGTCTCCATCAACGTCTTCTTGATATCTTCTGTTTGTGTGTGCTCGAGGGAAAATGTCGCCAGAAACCGCGTTCTTGGGCATGAGAAAGGCGGCGGCCAAGGTCCGACAAGCGTGCGATACATGCCACACGCGTAAGATCCGATGTGATGGGCGGCGTCCGTGCATGAACTGTCGCATCGCCAAGGTCGACTGCACGTACTGCGCAATCCCGAAGAAGACCGGACCAAAGGGACCAAGATATGGGCGAAGACCAGACTATCGACGACAGGCGGCACCGGCTCCAGCTCCTCAGCCGGGTCATCCAGAACCTGGAGTTGGGTGCAGTGAGACTGGGCACGCTTCACGAGCGAAACCATCAGCATCGGTGCTGCCTCGGAGTGCATTTGGGGTAGATAACGGCTTCCAACCGTCGCCTCAAGTATCGGCTGATATGTTCAGACGATGTCTCGACGCTTATTTCAAACACAAATACCCCATCACGCCAATGCTGGACCAGCATCGCATGGAAGAATGCGTGCGCGTGTACCCAAGATGTCCTGAAAGTTATGGACTTCTAATGTCGTGTTGCGCCAATATCGCTTTGGATCCTGACATAATGTCAACTCCTGCAGATTTATCCAACCTACAACAAAGCAGTTCAGCAGGGATCGATCTCCCCACGGTTGACTTCTTCGTCTCGGAGGCGTTGCGATCAAGAAGATACCACAATGTTGCCGATACTCAGTCGCTTGCACAAGTCCAAACCTCATTCTTCCTCTACTGCATCTACTTCTGTCTCAATAACGACAATGCAGCATGGTTCTACATCCGCGAAGCGATGACCATTCTGCAGACACTACGATATCATGAAGAAGCAACATACAACGAAATCGCGGACTCTTCCACCAAAAAGTACGCGCGACGCATCTTTTGGGTGCTATTCATCACAGAGCGAGCATATGCAATGCAACGGCATCGGCCACTGACGCTGCAGCCCATGCTAGATCTTCCCCAGATCGACCCGCTCAGCCCCGATGCTAAAATTCTGCCCGGCTTCCTAGAGCTCATTTCCCTTTTTCGGCCGTTTGACACGGATTTTATCGCCACGTGGAACTCATCTACCCCGTCGTCGACATCGAAGTCGGCAGAGCCTGAACAGCTGGCGCGGCTGCAGAACACTCTGTCGAATGCACTCGCCAACGTGGCCAACTTTTCTCCGATGCAACAAGCTGATCTTCTCATCACACGCGAATGGCTGAAGGTCATTGTATGGAAGCTTTGTGTATCAAGGACACTGCTATCGGGGACGGATAGTGAGGACAGCATGTCGCTCAGCTATCCCACTGCCATCGCCCGAGATACTGTGCTTGTCTCTCGGCTCTTGCCCACCACAGCGTTTGAAGCCAATGGAGTCGGTATCTTGGAGAAAGTGTTTGATGTTGGATGTTCATTGGCGGATCTTCTATCGCTGAACCCACCCACAGTAATCACGTCAGTTATGGATGTCGGGCCTATCGATATATTGATGGAGACGGTGAGGATAGCAGGGCAGAAATTTGGGGACGGTTACAAGCACCTCGATATCCTGGTCGATAAAGCGAACTTTTGCCTTTTGATGAATGTAGATAGAAGTCTACCTTTACCAGCTGATACGTCACTGGTTGAGGTAGTAGAATAGTCAGATCTCCCGAACCTCGGGAATTTCATGTTTGGGCCGAGAAATGCCCTCCATCGCCATCATCGCCCCTGGTCTCGATGTTTCCCATATAATTCCGCTTGCCTATCTGAGTAATATTCTCCCGAAGAAGAAAAAAGCGGACGTTTGCCGACTAAAATCAGACCTGCCAAACTAAGAAGCCCCAATTTTTGGTTCTATGAATGGAAATAGTGGAGAGCTATTGACGTGCATGAAGACGGCAGCAGGATGGATCTCCTCTGCGATTTCAATTTAAACCTGAGCCATAATCCTGCCGTCCTCCTTCCTCAGTATCGTGATTGCATGATCGTACTATCGCTTTAGATCCCACATTTTGCCCACTTAGTACAGCAATGCCACGCGCTTCACCTCAGCCCTACACCGAGCAATCCGGTGATGTTGTTGGCACCGCACCGTTTGATGCCTCGTGGTTATCGTGAACGCGCCCATCGACGCCATGACCTCCGCCGAGCTCTCTGCCAGACAGGGGTTGATGGGTCTTTACTCTATCTTCCAGCCAGCAAATTAACACGAAGTTTCAGGAGCATCAACAACTGACTCGGGCACCAGCCCTACGCAGCTCTCACAGCCAACCAAATGGGCATCTCTACTCCACCGTTCGTCTCGTCAGCCTGCGTCGACTGGCATAGCATCCTGCTCCTGAGGCGAGGTGCTCCCTACCCGCGCTCCCGGGGGTCCGGATTCGGACGGACTTTGCGGCCGAGTCCCCTTCGCCGATGGGGCGCCTCGGGTCCTAAGGGGCTCTGCCGACCTTGCCGACTCCGCTCAAGCACGCCAACAACATCCCATCGGTGCCGAGACTTCGCGTGGCATTCAGATGGATACCAACTTCCTAATGCGATAGTCAAGATGCATTAGCTCGCCAAGCAGCCTTGGTGATGGGGCTCGCGGCGGTGCAAAACAGGAAGCGACGAAGTGGTGCGCCAAAGGGGTCGTCCGTACAAAATGTGATCATGTTTCTCCTATCTTGACAGCTAGCGGTGTGCTCTTCGATGCCCAAATTCCAGTCACTCTTTCAATTCACGTAGGCAGCCACTCTTTCTGCCGAGTTCGTTCTTTTCAAAATGCACCTTTCAGCGGTTTTGGTAGCACTCTCTGTGCTAGCAGGGGTAACTCAGGGGCTCCAACATCGTGATGACCAAGCCAATCACTTGCTTCAGAGAAACGAGCACTACAAGCATCAAGCAGCTCACTACAATGTCGTGAACCGCCAGGCAGCTGGTCCAGTTACGCCCACAATCACGCCGCCCCCGACGTTCAACTCGACGGGGATTCCGACAACGTTTTCCACGCATATCTTCACTAATACAACAACACACCGAAACACTACTACGTCCAGGTCATCCACGTCCTCAAGCTCGCGTACCTCAAGTAAGAAAAGCTCTTCGAGCAAGTCTTCAAGTACTCGCTCGTCTTCATCTTCATCGTCATCTTCGTCTAGCAGCAGCACTGCGAGTACCACTACGACAACGTCCAGCTCTAGCAGTTCTGTTACATCATCATCACCCTCAAGCTCGACCCACACTTCCTCGACCTACTCGTCATCATCGTCATTCCCCTCGTCGACGTCAACTTCTTCGTATTCAACGACTTCAAGTACCCCTTCGGCAAGCAGTTCCGCCCAGCCATCGTCCAGCAATACACCATCAAGATCAGCTACCACCTCCGCCCCGTCGCAAACTAGTGAAGCCGAGAGTAGCACGCGGAGCATTAGTAGATCTACTCAGACCTCATTCTCGATCACGTTCTCTTCTGGCGTCTCCTACTCCATATCCTACAGCACAGCGCCACCCATGACAGATGCCAACGGCAACCAGTATGAGCCTGTCTTTCCTATCGCCGTCCCGGCCGCAGGGGGCGGCGCCGTTGTTCCTCCCGTTGGTGGAGGAGGTGGGGGCGGAGGTGGCGGAGGTGGCGGAGCCGGAGGGGGAGGAGCCGACGATACCACGACCACCTCAAACTTGCCTTCCAGCACCACTCTCAATGAGCCTTCAGCTGCTCCCTCAAGCGCTCCTCCTACGTCGGCTTCCCCTTCGTCCAGCCAGGAGCCATCTAGCACAGTTGCAGCAATTGATACAACCTCGTCGCCGTTGGTAGTCATCACTTTCGAGCCAACGACAACGACGTCAATCGTTGAGGTGGTTACCGAGCCTGCCGCATCGACAACCACCGTTGCTGCCCCGGTGCCTTGTTATGTGAGTATTTCCTACACTGACCTCTCATACTAAACGGCAGAGCTAACTCAAGCGATGCAGAACTATGAGTGGAAGTCGTATGGATGGTGCTGTCCTGGTCCTGACTCGCCGTGCGAAAACAGTTTGGGCACCTGCTACTTCGATGGAAGCGGCGCGACGGATGTGTTGCCGAATACCGCCGCTTGCCCACCAGCACCTGATGCTAGACACTAGGTCACGACAATGAAGTACTAAGAATACCCATTGAGATGAAAAAAATAATGAAACAACCAGTTGCAATTCGCCTTGTATTCAGCCTTGGTGCATCTCCGCCCTCTCGCATCGCCTCAAGAATGACGTACGATGCGACACAAAAGGCGTTCCTTCAATTGAAACATGACTGAAGTCGCGTCTTGGCAAGATCAAATAGTGAAGAGCGGTCGCGCAGCTGTCACCTTAGCTCCCTGTCAGCACATACCAAAGTACCTCAACCAGACCTCTGTGCCACGCCGATCGCGAATCCTGCAGGGAAAGCAAGCTTATTTTTAAGCAATCTTACCTAGCTATGGTAAGGCCTCCACGTCATATCTCTACGCATCAGGCAGAAGGGATAAATCAAATTTTCCGAGATAGACATGATAAAAGCACACCGGCATCTCAGTAGTCACACAGCTGTTCACTCATGGCATACGTCTATTGTTACTGAAGCATTCACCAGCGGATTCCTAGCCTGGGCGTCACTTCTGACTTGTCTTCTCTGCGTCTCCCCATACTATCAAATTGTTCTTTTCGCTTTGGAAGTAGACATGGGCATATTGTGGTGGGCTACCGGCTTGTTAGTAGGGCTTAGCTTCACCTCCGGAGTTTATGCCTCCAACGCAGGATTGTACCCGCTCGCGAACCGGGGAACACTCTACCATCGAGATATATGGAACGACTCCACCATTGTCCCAAATGCCGTAAAGGAACCAAATGCAACCGGAAGCTGGCCAATCGTCGGTATCGACCTTTCCAAACCATTAGTGAATCCACCGGACTCGACTCTATATGGCCGAGGTAATGGTTGGAGCATCGAGGTAAAAGTTGCAACCAATAGAACCAATGGCGATACTCCCAAAGTGGAACCCGAGAGAAATGCTGTGTGGAACATCAACCCCATCACCATCGACCTCGAAGGGCCCCAGAACGCGTTCGAAGCAGGCAACGCCAGCAACAACTACTCCTTCTGCTCCTACGTCTGGAATGGAATCAGCGACCCGTACACTAAGAAAGACTTGGAGACATTGGACGAAGACACGGATGGCTCTTGCAACGGCTGGATCTCGAATATGTGCATTGAGGATTTGAAGCAAGCAGCCAGAACAGCGCGATGCAACTCAACCAGCGGTGACCTGATCCACAAACCGGATAGCTGCGGCAAGAAGATAGACCCTCTTTCATACCTCATAAGTAAGACAGTCACCCTACCTTAGTTTCGTATGAGCTGCTATCTGACACTAAGTGCAGGGAACTTGACGAACCAGACAGAGGCAACAGCAAACAACGACACCGGCCCGGTTTACAGTCTGTACTCATGGGTGGCTGGTATTTTCAACGCTTCTGATGAGAAGAAAACCAACGACTCTTACGACGAAGCACTGACAAGAGTCTGGCCTGTCGTTTTGTCGTTCAACTATGACGATGGCGAAAACCAGACGGACTATCAAGTCTTTCGATGCGTTCGAGCAAACAACGTCGTGCAAGGGAGTCGTGAGCCTGACGGCTTTGGCGATAGACCCAACGTGGCAGGAAGTCTCAGATGGTCCGTTTCTACCGTGGCTCTGGGTTTAGGCATTTCATTAGGGATCTCTTTTGTGTTTTGAAACTTCTCATGTACATGCCTTTTGCCTGTCTTTCATTTCAAATACCAGGAGTTCAATGGCGTAGATGAATCTTTTTTGTATTGTATTTAAGAATCAGAGCTTAAGAGGCACTTATGCTTTCGATTCAATAAAGCTCTTGCACACGGGCTTTCCATCGCTTTGCTGTCAGAACATGTAAAATTGGGGCAAGACAGACAAAACTCTGGCCCTTACGTCCAACGCCTTCGAGGGTAACCTGTAATAGTCAATTCATGACTGTGCTATCAGCTAGGTGGAGAGGGTTGGTATTGAACATTTTCAGACCAGTGAGACACTCGTTTTCAATCGAAGCGATTCTGAATGCTTATGTGGCCAAGCAGAAGAGGAACACTTTGCACCGCAAAAGCGAAGCGATGGCACCTTCCTGCATAAACGAGCATCTCGGCTAGCCGGAACCTTACCTCCAAGCTCCAGTTTTGCCCAAAGATTTAGGTATTGTACGTGATGAGTCTGCATACGTTGCGTCGTACTAAGATGAAGATTGCTTCTCATGGTGAAACTTCAATTTTTGGCCACGAATGAGGGCTCGGATTGGTGCATTGCAGCGTTACCCTGCGGATGACTGCAGCTCGGTACAGATCAGCGATGCAGGCATGCAGATTGCTTCGCCCGAGTGGTCTGATCTTCAAATGCAGAATGTAATGCTTAGCATGCATTTAATCATGCTTAAAATCAATCGAAAATCCTCTGGAATAATCATTGTCTATGCTGTCGCACTTGTCCTCTCTTTCTCCTTACAGATATGGTGTTCGACGCCGCGGATAGCCGGGGTAAGCCCTCATCGTACGTCCGAGATGCAGCAATGACCGAAATGAGTAGGTCACCCACACTTCAAGAATATATCCTGGCATCATGAGCTGAGGCTTTACCTTTTCAGATGACTCGATTGGGGTGAGCAGCGACGAAGATGCCGACTTGAAACGTCTCGGTCTCCAGTCTCCTACAAAGCGGGACATTGGACTTCTTGAGATTGTTGGCCTCGGATGGAACATCTGCAACAGCTGGTCAGCTATCGCAGTCACACTGTCAATCTCAATTGCTTCGGGCGGTCCGGTAACTTTGTTATACGGCATCATTCTCATCTTCGTTCTCGGGGGCGCCTGTGCTCTGAGCATGGCTGAGATTGCCTCCGTCTATCCGACAGCTGGAGGGCAGTATCACTGGACCAGCATTCTTGCACCAGAACGTTCAAGCCGTGTACTCGTAAGGTCCATGTGCACATCCATAATCGCGATAGCAATACTGATGGTGGATGCCACAGAGTTACTGCTGTGGATCAGTCAACTTCCTGGGCTGGATAGCCAACGGAGCAGGCTTCGTCATACAGATGCCGGTCATGGTACTCTCACTCGCGTCTTACCTCGATCCTCAATACATCCCGGAAACGTGGCATATCTTCCTTCTTTTCCAGGCCTTCAATTTTGCATTCACCGCCTACAATATCTTTTTAATGAAACGTACAGCTTGGATTCACGACTTGGGATGTAAGCTTCCTTTGGGACTTCCACTACATTTGACTCAGCCTTAGTCTAACCTTCTTCGTAGTTTTCATCTCGCTGACAGCCTTCTTCGTCATTACTGTCACTTGCTTGGCACGTTCGACCCCCAAGCAGGACAGCTCTTTCGTATGGACAACCTTTATCAACGATAGCGGCTGGTCGTCAAAGGGCATTGTCTTCTTCACTGGCTTGCTCAACCCCAACTTCATCTACTCCGGCCTTGATGGGGCCATTCACCTGGCCGAAGAATGCAACCATGCAGCCTCCAGTATCCCCAAGGCTCTGATTTCTACTGTCACAATTGGATTTGTGTCAAGTTTCGTGTTCAGCGTCGCGATGCTGTACAGCTTCCGCGATATTGAACCTGTTCTCCAGTCTCCGTAAGTTATGCATCGAATTTGTGTTATCTGAGATTTAGGTGACATGGATGATAACAATAGAATACAGGTATCCGATATTGGAGATTTGGTCGCAAGCCACAGGCTCCTCCGCTGCTGCCACAACCTTCGTTGTGACTATCGCAATATGCGGCTGCTTCGCTTGTACAGGTGCTCTACAAACAGCCAGCCGACTTACATGGTCCTTCGCTCGGGACGATGCGATCGTGTTTTCATCATTTCTCGGCAAAATTAGCCCACAATTCGGCGTGCCTGTCAACGCACTCATTGTCAATTCAGCTCTCATCTTCATCCTGGGCTGCGTATTTCTTGGTTCTTCGACGGCGTTCAATGCGTTGGTCGCCACGGGTTTGATTCTTCAACAAGTCAGTTTCAGCTTCCCAGCGGCGTTGACTTTGTATCACAGATTCAAGGGGCCAGCAGCATTTGAGAAGGTTCTACCAAGGTGCAAGTTCCGACTGCCACAGCCTGTCGGTGTTGTTGCCAATGTTTTGACAATCGCGCTTGGTCTCATTGCATTGATATTCTACGATTTCCCCGTGGTAATGCCCGTTACCTCTTCAAATATGAGTAAGTACATTGCGAGCCAGTTTCTCATTGCTTTTAGCTGATTTTGGAAGACTACGCAAGTGTCGTCATAGGAGTGATGGGACTTTTCGCCATCGGTAACTGGTTCGGTCATGCAAATAGAAGATACAAAGGACCAAGGCTCGATTAGACCAACGTCATGGAGACAGAAAATGATCTAGCTAGCATTGCTGAGAGCCGGGTCCAGATTAAATTGACTACAGTCAGGGAACGTTTGAAAAGCCCTCGAGAAGCTACGTGGAGGCATATTTGAAAGTCAATACAAAAGATGCGCGTCATCTCACTAGAGTCTACATGGTGTGAAATTTGACCTCTCTGCTCCAATATATTTTGAGCGATATGTAGAAGAACACCTAGATCGATGTCTCCCTCGGCTTTTGATCGTCCATGTAATGATACAAGACCACATACCCAAGCAGAAAGTTGCTGATCGACAGCATGAGGATCACAGTATATAGAACAAGCTAAGGAAAAGAAAATGTCAGTTCTCCGGTCACATCGCAACCTCAGGGTAATCGTTGACTTACCAAGGGTCCAAAATGAGGGGTTCCAAACAAAGTGCCAATGTAATCGTATACAAGAACACATAGTCCAATAGCCAAGAGGTATAAACTGCCCAGCAGAAGAAATGGAGGAATATGCCATATATAAGCTTGCACGAGACCCAGAGTTACTGGGTCCTCATTAGTCTTGCAACGCTCGAGATGTCCATCAGGATCTGACATTTGACTCAGGAGTTGTCGTAGCTTGGATGGCCCGTCGGCGTAGGTGCTCAGCCGATGCAAGCCAACCAGTTGTTGTGAGGACGCCCCAACTGAGCACAGTGACACGACGAGTGCACTGTACCAGAGAACCCTTGCTACCTTTACAGCAGACGTTTCGGCAGCCGGGTTCGTGAACTGGTTCCAAGTCAAGGAGCTTGAGGTGACGCTGCTTATCAGGGCTGCCTGCATTTCCTTAGTGTCTTGTTGGAGCGAACAGAATACGGAGGAGGTTACTGTGACCAGAGTTACGTTCAATTGCGAAAGCGTGTAGTCTCTCCAGGCAATCGTCAGCTGGTCGCGGAGACTGGAGTCTCGCTCATTTAGAAATCTTTGAATCGGGGCATAATTGTTTCTCCATATAGAATCAAGAAAATGGATCATCGATTTGAAGATATCAGTCATAAACTGCCACATTCTTCCGCACATAGTCTTGGTGATACGCAACGCTTGGAGAATATTGAGCGATAGGTGTTGAGGGATAGTGGCCGGTATTACCGACGTTGAAAAGTGACAGGCTGTTCAAATGGTGCCAGGTGATGTTTGAAGGATCAAAATATAACAAGGTTGAAAAGCTGAAGATAGGGCCCCAGCATCGGTCATTCGTTCCACCATGCGCTTTATTGCAAAGGCAGATCTTGCCCTACTCTGGCAGCAATAATTGAAGTCAAGCTCGGATCAGCCAGGAGCCTTCTTGAATTGTAAAGGTGCCAACAAATGAATGACAAATGTTTCCTGCAGATGTCCTCAGTGGTAGCTTGCATATGGGCTCGCTGTCTTGAATGCATATGCTGTGTTACAATCGATAGGACATTTCAGTTCAATGAGGCAATGACAGCCCTCTATGAGCTAGACTGACTTGGATGTGTATCCTCCCGATCCAGCTTAGCTGTCACGAAAGGAGGGTACGTCGGTACATATTGCGATATTAAACGGATTGATCTCTGGGATAAGGATACCAAGCAAAGGCGAATGATGATCACCTATGCTGCAGTATCAGTCGCCGATCGGCTGCCGTGGTGCGACCGGAGGATTGCTTATGGGTGGCTGATGGCTATCGTAGGTGACAAGAAGCCATGCATGACCCAAAGATAGATACCTTAGGGGGCTACAGATACTTCCTGCTCACCGGACATCGTACTACTGTTTGCTGAACGAGGGTTACGCCACCCCGGCCCGGCTGGATGAACGGAGGCCTTTGACCGCGAAGGTGAAGTGGTTTGATTTCGCTGGCGGTTATGCACGTGAATAATACGGTGGCCCTATTCAAATCGTATTCGAAACCCAAGTTCCAATTGTTTGAGATGCTCATTTGACGGCTCGTGGACCAAGAGTAAAAGTGTCCTGATGCTTCGATTCAAAGGTAAGTCACCACAAACTCGAAGCCGTGGGAAGCTCAATCGCGGCACAGCGTCAACGCCCAACACGATGATTGGTTTCTTACCCTCAAGCCACTGCCAACTGTAGGAGGCTTCCTGAGCTATCACATAGGCATCACACATTTTCGTCAGCGCAGTGTTTTCCAGCGCTCCGGCGGCTTTGGCACTTGATCCTTACCTCCGCTTTGTCACGCCACTTTCAGCTTCGAGGTGATCATATAACGACCTTAAATCGTTATACAAAATTTGACAGTGTTACAAAGTCTAATGAGTCCATGGACGTCGTCTTGAAGTCGAAGTCTTCATAGCCTTCGGCAGCCAATACCAGCATGGCATCATCTACCCAGCTTCCTGCGACGATGCGCGCGGCGCAATGGCGCACCACTACCGGCAGCATCGAGAAGAACCTAAAGCTCGTCACCAACGCACCGCTCCCCAAGACTGCCTCTTCACTTCCCAAGGGCTGCACTCTCGTGAAAGTGGCCTTCGCTTCCATCAACCACGACTACAAGCTCGCCGAACTTCCCTTCCTCAACCGCATATTCCCTGACCCAGCGACCCCCGGAGTTGATTACTCGGGCACCGTTGTCGCAACAACTTCTACCACACTGCAACCTGGCCAGGGTGTCTTTGGGAGGACCGAGATGCACAAGTGTGGCACCCTGGCCGAGTACGTCGTGGTAGGAAAATCAGGTATCGCAGCGGTCCCCGCCGGCGTATCGCTGAAGGATGCGGCGTGTGTCGGCATTTGTGGTGTCACGGCGCTGCAAGCACTTGCTCCCTTCGTGAAGGAGGGAGACACGGTCTTGGTCAACGGAGGCAGCGGTGGCACCGGGATGTTCGCGATACAAGTTGCCAAGGCTCTGGGTTGCGCCCGAGTTGTTGCCGTCTGTTCGGGGCAGAATGCCGATTTTTGCCGAAGTCTTGGAGCTGATGATGTGATCGATTACAAGAAGGGTGACCTGGTAGACGCACTCCAGAAAAGAGGTGAACAATTTGACCACATATTGGATACGATATTTCTGGATACAGAGTTGTATTGGCAAAGCCACCAATATCTCGTCCCCGACGGGACCTACGTGGCGATTGGTTTGCCTTTGACAGCCCATACATTCACGACTTTGATTTGGATTCATCTGCTTCCAAGGCTCTTTGGCGGCGGAAAGAGAAGGTTCAAATTCCATTCAGTCTTCGCAAACCCAGAGCATTTCCTACAGGTTGGCAGATTGGTCGAGGAAGGCAAAGTCAAGCCAGTGATTGAGGACGTCTTTGGCTTAGAGGATGCGGGCAAGGCTTATGCGAGGATCAAGAGCGGAAAAGCAGCTGGAAAGTTGGTTATCGCAGTTGGTGGCGACGTGGCACTGTGATGTGAGCTAATAAGACACACGCTAGGCTGTTAAGTGGTTGTGAACGAAATATCGCTTCAACGTTTTGCGATTTAGACCGAGACAAAAAGTCTTGTAGCGTAAATAAGTAGTAAATAGTGTATTGACATCCTATAGTCCCAAGCCAGATTCCCAAGCGCCTATCCCATTCCCATTCTGTAATCCAAACGCCAGTCGTGAACATGATACAGGAAATCTAGTGGGCACTGTTGCGCCTATCCCAAAGGCGTCAGTTCCCCTCTAAATGGTCTTTGAACCGTATCCCGCTTGTCCTCGTCAATCTTCCAAACGCCCTTGGTGTGCTTATCATGAAGTTGCCAATTCACAGGTTTGGCCAGCTGGTGGAAAATGTCGTGGTCCGCCCCCGGGATGCTCTTGAAAAATAGCGGCTCCCAGGTCTCCCCCTTCTTCTTCTCTTCTGCTCTCATGCGTCGTTGCGCCTGCTCTACCTCGCTCTTCGCGTTCACCGTCTCCCGGAAGTCGCTCTTGCCGAGGCCTTCGATCACGCCAGCCCACGCCTTGCGCGATTCCCAAGGATCTTGGCTGGCAATCGGCTCAATCTCCATCGGCGCGGGCAGGTTCTCCAGCGCGTCGACCTCGTACTTCTCGATAATGTCGCCCGTCCTCCCGTCCTTCACAGTCCAGCCCTCGCTCCAGACACCCTCCAATGAGTAGATCGTCGCCTTCTTGTCGTTCTTGTGGTACATCCTCGCCTGGAAGAAGTTCTTCTTTCCGCTGAACACGCCCGTCCCCGAGAACTTGATCTCCGATACGTAGCCCGTGCTCGAGACGATGTAATATGTGCCAATCACCTCGGGGTACAAGCATGCGTTCAGGAAGCCGCGAACCTTTACATCGGGGAGCGGCACCAAATAGTCCTCGTTGTACCTGTCAATGTGCACCACCGCATGCCCGATCTGGCGAATGTTGACGCTGCTCGAGAAAGTCATCTCGACGCGCGCGTACCCATCCGCCCGGATGCCGTGCTCCTTGCTCGCGATGTGCATCGCCGTGATGGGCGGGTGGTGGCTGACCTGCTCAGCCACCAGCTTTGTCGACGCCTTGCCCTCGTTCCAGGACGCCAGGAAAAGCTCGCCAAGAAATGCGTTGAGGGGCTTCTTGATGCTGACGTTGGGGGCGCCGGCGACGTAGAATTGGCTGCGCATCGCGATAAGGATCATGCGCAGCACCTTCAGGGAACGCTTCTCTGGGTCCTGTTCGAGGGCCGGGGCGACGAAGACGCCTGGCCTTTGCGACCAGCAGTGGCCGACCTCGACGACGGAGGAGGGCGCCAGGAAAGAGGGCGGTGCGGTGACATTGGAGAGATCGCCTTGTACTGATGAAAGGAACTGTGGTGGGAATGTCAGCGGCGATGCTTGCATCATTCAGGACCCCGCTGAGAGGCCCGTCAGTGATAGCTGAGTTGCGTACCTTGACGAGGTCGCTGATGCGAGACGAAAACGATTTCGTGTCCATGATTGTGACTTGCGTTTCTGGCTGGTTGAAGCTGTCGTATCCGTATTCTTTCTTTCCCTATCAAGATCCCATCCAAGTTTCGTCTGCTATAAAATGATCGCTTCTGCCCAAATAGAGTCGCGGTTTCGTCAGTCTGATGATAAGCTGTGTTGATAACGGTAGCAAGAAATAAGGGTCAACCGCCCTCGTCCAGGGAGCTGTCGTGCGGCCTGTGACTGGGGTTTCAGCTCTGTTTCAGCCAGCAACTGGGCGTCGTCCAAAACGCAATTGTTCTGCAAATCAGTGGAGATGAATCGTGCTCCAGCAGCAGTACGGATATATAAATGGGCTTGTTGTACCTTTGTGACCTCGGCTGGACAATAGAGCCTATGAAAGTTCAATAGTAAACACGCCGAACAGATGTGACAGGAAAAAGGGGACCCTTATCAGTTTTGAAGCGCAGTAGACGAGCTGGGTTGCTGCGTCCTGATATCATTCCCCTGTCTCATCAGCTGGCATGTGAAAGACGCACGACAACAGCACAGCGCGCGTCGTGGTACATGTCTGTTGGCTGTTGCTGCAGTGCATGCTAAGGGTCGCCCTTCAGAAAAGCACCGGTCGCAACCCGCTCCCAATGTCGCGCTGCAAAGAGCGTTGACCACCCAATGACACAAGAGACTCTAGACACGACACCAGACAAGACTCGACTCCGTCTGAAAACGCGGCCTCAAAGCTTGCCCCCTGCAACCTACTGTAGCCGCTGTTGGCTTGTTCAGCTCCCAGCTCACCAAGAAACGCCGGCTGGGCCACCACCCGGGCGCGGACTGCTGCGCCTCCCGGGTGGAGGGGTCGAACGAGTTGAGAGCGCTGCTGTTGCGTGACGGCTTGCCGCCGGCGCAACATCCTCCCGCCAGGGCAGTCCAGGTCATCGGATCGGATGAAATGCACCGCCAAGCGGCATCGTGAGTCTCGCCGATGATCCCCGGCTGGCCAGCGCTTTCGGATGATTCATTGATTCGCATGTCGGGGCCGGCTTGTTTCTTGGGTCTGCGAGCCACACGGCACCACATCCGGCTGGGGATCGCTTCTTTTAGCACATATTTTCCGTCCCTTTTGTTTCCCGTCCACCCCATTTAATCGAGACAACTTGGAATGAAAATGTACGGCGCTGATTGTTTCTTTTCACAGCCTAGCTAAGCTTAAAAACGCGCGGTCCGCTGCTACACCCAACCATTCCAACACGCCGGCGCTAGGGCATAGGGCTGCGACCAGCGCTGCATGTTTTCTGACGATTTCCCCCTCATACGTCCAATCACTGAAACACACTTGGCCGACGGGCTTGATCTTGCTCTCCCGGCTGCTGGAGCTAGGAATCACCGTGGCAGCGTGCAGCGACTAAACACTAGCCTTCTCAGGAGGGTTCGCGCTTACAGCTCCTCGGAAACCTGCTGTTCGCCCTTCTCCGGACCCTGAATCGTCTGCGTAACCTCCTCATCGCTACCTCCTTCAATGCTCCCAACAACGTAGTAATCTCTCACCAACGCGGTACCATTCTTCACCATCTCCCACACCTCAGGTGCGCAAGTGTCAGGCTTCAGCACGTAGCATGCGGGATCTGGCTGCGCAGGCGGCACGTTCTTGATGTGCCAAATGTCCAGAGGGCCAACGGTCGCCAGCTCATCAGTCACCGGGATCAGCCCGGTCGCGATGTCGCGGTTGAAGGTAGCCCGCATGAAGATCTCGTACGCCGTCACGGGCTGGTATGACGGCACCTCGTGGCCGGCCTGGAACACGCGCGAGAAACTGTAGTTGCCGAACTGCCGCGTCATGCCCGTGATGCCGTCCGGCGTCACGAGCGGGGCGTACCCGGCCTTGGCGAAGTCCTCGGAGCGCTTGTAGGGGATCGTCAGGCTCACCCTCTCCCCGCCAACCCAGTTGCATGCATAATCACGATCACCGTCTACAAATATGTCAGAGACCCATTCGTACATCGTACACTAATGCGCCCCGGGAGTGGGACGGCAACTCACACATCATGTGAACCTTGACTCCGCTGTCGAGGAGATACCCAATCGACTCGCTGAACCCGCCCAGGATGATGTCTACACATGGTATCAGCTCTACGTTCATCCAAAGTGGCCACCTCCGGATTGAAGGTAAGGCTGCGCACCAAAGTTCTCATTGAAAGCCCTGCCCACAGCGCCCGAAGCTTCCGAGTAGTTGACCGGAACTCCGAGAGAAGAGAGCACCTCTTCGTCGATGAGGTATCCGTACAGATGCGGGGCCGGGAAGGGGTCGTGCTTGGGATGCCCGATGTCGTACCACCCGTTACCGATTGACTGGTAAAGTTCAACAGCCTTCGTCTCGCAGTCGCTGGTGACACCGCCACAAATCTCCGTGTAGTTCTTCTTTCCGCTCGCAAGCAACGGGCCGTGCTCTTTCAGCGCGTCTTGGCAATCAGCCACCTGTTGACGGCAACCGTTGGGGCGGGTCCAGTTGTACATCAGCTCATCGTAGATGGACTGGTTGAAGACTTGGATGCCGTACGTCTTTCATCCCACGACTTAGCATTCACTTGATTCTCGAATATCTGAGTCCATGGCAAGATTTACTCACGTTGTTGTATGGGAACGTAATCCAAGTCTCACCCTGAATGACAAAGTCAATAAGGCCGTTGACAATACCCAGAGTATCGAGATGGATGTAGTGAGCATCCTTCTCGGGCGAGGTTCCGTTTTGAATCAGCTCATTCTGATTTTGGAAGTGCTTCAGGATGCCAGGCCCATAGTGCCCGCCATACGACTCAGCCCAGAGGCTCACACGGTCATCGTCGGGCTTGTAAAACGGGAACTCAAAGAACCAAGTCTGGGCAAAGTGCCACAGCGAATGAGCAGCATGCGCCGTGGTGTGGGCAGTTTGGGATATGTTCTGGCTCGACGCAGTACCATATCGGTAAGTCCAGTTGCCAGACTCCGGGATCCCGTCGCTGAAGTCAGCAGGGAACGCCTCCATGTAACCGTCCTCGTTCATATGCGCGGTGAGATTGGTGAGAACATCGTAAGAGAAGCCCACTTGGTTCGGCTGATCAATGTAAAGAAGGTTCACCTCATTATTCCAGCTCAACGGGTTGAGTCGCGTCGTCTTGGAGTCCTCGTTGACGAAGCACGGGCCGTTCTCCTCAAGCAGTCCCATGATGGACGACGCGCCGGGCCCGCCATTGAGCCAGATGGCCAGTGGCGCATTCTCGGGCGCCTTTCGGGCCTCGAAGAACCAAAAGAATCTGCGCGCTGGTGGTGAGCCCCCATCGTCTGATCGCTGTACGCGGGAAACTCACGTGTTGATTGGGTAGTCCTGCGCCTCTCCGTTCACATCGTCCAGAGTTCCGGGCGGCAGGTGGACGTAGCCCGCGTAGCTCCGGACTCCGGGTGTCGTCTCGCAGATTCCTGGCTATTGGCGCAACGTCAGTCCCAATCATCTCTAGGGCGTCGGGTCAATTGATTCGGAACAACTCATCTTACCTCTTTATACGAGATGGTCACATTTTCGTGAAATTTAGACTTCAGCACGGTGACACCCTCCGGCTTCGGTGGGAATTGGGCCCCGGCCAGGCCGATAATGCCACCGAGCAATAATGAGGCAGGAATCATGTCCGCCGATTGAGCGATTGAATGCCAAGATGGACGAGCTGAAGGGAGACAGGTCGCAACGGTGTTTTTTGGTCAGACTTTATGAAGGCATCTGTGGTTTCCTAGTACGTATGATGTGACGCGTTCCGCACACGTCCTGAAGGATTGCGAGAACGAGTCAATTGCGGGGAGATAACGGGCGGCCCTGAGCGGTGATTCGGCGAGCCCGTTGACCTTCCTTTTTGGACATCGCCGCGGCAGAACGGCACAGTCGAGCTTACCTGCAATCAGCTACCGCGAAAATTTTGACCGTCGCGACAGCTCGAGAGAGCGCAAAACATGACGAATTCAATTCGCATTCATTCCAGAAACTGGTATACAAATTCAAACCTTGGCATCTGGTTGGCACATGCGCACGAGGGTCCTCATACTTGATCAGTAGCAAGCTTTGAGCAGACACTGATGACGAAACTGATGACCATAACACTGACGACGAGGTTCTGTGAATGCCAAACGTGTCAAGCCTATGAGCCGCAAGAACTTCAGGAAGCCTATCCATCTTCTAAACCCCCAATGATGTTGTCGGCTCGCGCCTCACCGTAATGCTGACCTTTCGACCAAGAGAAAGAACAAGGAATCTATTGGGTATACCCGACATCAAACCATAAACGAACGCAAGCCCGTGTGCTTCCTGTGCGCCGCACTTCGGGCCATCAAAGTCGGTCTCGAACCCCCATGCAACGCTTGCTCTAAGCCATGAGACATTCCCGCTTCATGCAACAAAAAGAGGTAGAACATACAACGTAGACATCCACAGACACCACAACTTCGCCACGATCTTGTCGCACTTCTCGTCTCGTCTCGCGACCGTCAGAATAGCCATGATGGATCCAATCCCCATTGGCACCGCCCATCCAACTATACTGAGATTCCAAAAGTACGGTGACACCACCGACCACATCAGTACTGCAACAGCCAGTCCTGCGCGGGACGCCTTCTCGCCGTAGACCAGTGGGATAGTCTGTCGGTTTCTGGCCCTGTCGCCTTCCATGTCAGGAAAGTCGAGCGCCTGTACAGTGGTTGCGATGGCGGCCCCTGTCAATCCAATCCAAATCCAAGCCTTGGGTAGGAGCTGGCCGCCCGAAATAACCTCCAACGACCCCGCGCTGAAGCACATGATTCCTCCAGTGTTGATCAAGTTGCGCGACCAGATGTTGATACTGCTGCCGTCAAGATCGTTGTACGTCCAAAGTAGAGCCATCATTGTCACCGAGGGCGTGAAGCCACCGATGAACAGACTCATACCCATCACTAAGGGAATGATTGCGAGCAGCAACTTCTGTGCTTGATCCGGCGTCAGTCTTTTCGCCGCGATAGGTCGCCAGGGTTTGTTGAGCTCGTCTTCAAGTACGGATTCCGGGAGACGCTGGTTCGAGATGCCGCAGACGATGAGGTTCACCCATATCCAGAACACCGAGAGGGGCAGTCTCCGTAACGCCTCGAAGGCAGTAGGCCTTTGAATCGTCGTGAGTATTTCATGGCCGAGGACTGCGGCCACGAGGAAAATAATTTGAGGTACTAGGACGGTTTTGATGTCGCTTCTAGTAAATAGGTAAAGTGTTTTCAGATGGAATCCTGCGCGTCGGCCCTTCATAGCGTTAGTGATTGCTGCTAGATCGTTGACGGGAAGGATCCTACCCGACACCCGCACGTGGATGAATCCGATGATTCTGACATTGGCACAGACTGGTCCAACGGCTTTTCCAGCAGCACACGATCCTCCTGAGCCGACATATTGACTGAAATCAACAAGAATGCGCAAAGAGGAATATGATCAGCCAAGTTGCATCAATTTCACAGCAATAACTACCTTCACCACGATACGTGGCCTACGTCGCATTATGAGTATTTATGATTTAAGCCTTCTTACCGAGGGTTTGGGGAAGTCCGCATTGAAGCTACGAACGACATCGGCCAAAGAGACTGATATGGAAGTTGTGACGACATCGTCTGAACTTTCAAGCTTACTGAGCCGCATCGTTCGGAGTTCAAAAGCGGAATGTGGAGGATGGACTTTGGTTCTCAGCCGGTCATCTGGAGCGGACCCGAAACCCTAAGGGAAAGTCTAGATTATGGCCTTCTCCTTCGTGCTGAGCTTGCGAATGGTAGAAAGGCACTTTCTGGTTACTGCTTTCGAACTTCCGAGAGGTTGTGACTGATTGGAAGGACCAGCCCAAGTATTACAGATGATATCATCTCTGCTTGCATAGTCCAGGCTTTGGGACCGTCCAGCTTGACCTCTGACAGACAATGTTTGTCTTGGTTTTCGGCAAGCTACCGCACCTTAGATTCAACGGAGCTCCTAGTGCCAGTTGTCTCCATTGTGGATAATTTCTGCCTATGAATGCCGGCCGGCGCACCCGGCGCTCCCCGTCTCTCAGATTACATCAACTCAACCACAACCGGACCGCTCGCACGAGCCACATCATCATCACCAGAGAACGTTGTAACTGAAAAGGTGTTTATTTCACTGCTATCCAGACATTACTAATACTATTCAGAGTCGTAAATCATGCGTCGTGATTCCTTCCACACAATACATTACGGAAATCTTACGCTTGCACAGGAGTGATGGTGGTGGAAACCTTCAGGTCTCTGCTGCTCCAGCCGACGCTGAGGGTGAACTCGCCGGCGGGGATGACCCACTGCTGGGAGACGACGTCCCAGTAGCTGAGATCACGGCGCATCAGCTCGAAGCCGATGGTCTTGCTCGCGCCGACGGCAAGGGGCACCTTCTCGAAGCCGCGGAGCTGCTTAGGAGGGGTGCCGGCGGGGGTGGTGTCGGCGGGGAAGCTGACGTAGAGCTGGGGCACGGCGGCGCCCTCGACGTCGCCAGAGTTGGACACGGTAACGGTGGCGTTGAAGATGGTCTCCCAGAGGGCGGGGTTGCCGCCGGGCTCGACGGGGCGCTCCTCGGGAGCGGAGGTGATGTTGTCGGCGACGGCCTCGGCGGCGAAGTCGGCGAGCTCGAAGGTGGTGTAGCTGAGACCGAAGCCGAACTCGTAGCGGACGGTGATGTTCTTGGCGTCGAAGTAGCGGTAGTCGATCTCGAGCTTCTCGTCGTACCAACTCTGCCAGTCGTACTCTCCGGTGGTGTTGATGGCAGTGGTGGGGGGCGCGTTGTAGTCGGTGCCGTTCAGGGCGATGGTGTAAGGAAGACGACCAGAGGGGTTGACATCGCCGTAGAGAACATCAATCAGAGAGTTTCCGCTCTCCTGGCCGGGGTAGTGGTTGGCGAGGATGGCAGTGACGTTAGGGTGGTCGGCCCAGGGAAGGGTGTTGATACCGGAAGAGTGGGTGATGACAATGGTGTTGTTGCAGTCCTTGGCGACGGCCTCAACGACATCGTTACCGTTCCAGTCAACGTCAAGGTGCTGGCGGTCAGCAGCCTCCTCAGCCCAAGTCTTGAGGAAGACGAGGCAGACCTCAGGGGTCTTGGGGATCCAAAGATCGCTCATGTTGGAGTTGATGATGAGGGTGTTGTTGAGCCACTGCTGGACGAGAGCACCATCCTGAGCCGCGCGAGCCTTGATGGCCTCAAGAGGAGAGACAAGGTAGGTAAGACGTCCAGTTCCGGAGCCACCGCCGGCAACGAGGGTGCCGTACTCGAAGTCCTTCTGGTTGTAGAAGCCCTGGGTGTCCTCACCGGCGTCGTTTCCGAAGACGGCAATGGACTTAGGGGCCTTGAGAGGGAGGGCCTTGTTCTCGTTCTTGAGGAGAATGGAGGCAGCAGCACCATGCTTGCGGATGATCTCGCCGTGGTTGTCACGGACGTCACGGCTGCGCTCGCCAGTCAGGTTGAACTCGCGGACCCAGGTGGACTTGGGGGAGAAGGTGTTGAGGTCACCGCTGGAAGGGTCGATGGAGGGGAAGTCCTTGTCCTGACCGAGCCAGAAGTAGGGGGTCATGATACGGAGGATCATGTCGTCGACGCGGGCAACGTCAAGGGTGCCGTTGTTGACAGCGAGGGTGACATTTCCACCGAAGAAAGAGCCGGAAGCCCAGGCCTGGCCGTAAGATCCGAGACCACCGGGCATGTCCATGTCCAAACCGGCCTCAATGGCAGCAACACCAGTGTGGGTAGCACCCCAATCACTCATGACGTATCCCTCGAAGCCGAGCTCGGTCTTCAGGAGGCCGTTCAGGGACTTGGAGTTCTGGCAGCCGTAGGAGCCGTTGATACGCTGGTAAGAGCACATGAAGGAGGCAGCCTTGGCCTTGACGGCGTTGGCAAAGGGCCACATGTAGAGCTCGTGGATGGTGCGGTCGTCGATGTTGGAAGACAGGGCCTGAACGGTGATGTCGGTGTCGGTGCCGTTGGGGTCGAAGGTGGGGTTTCTCATGGTCTCCTGCTCGTTTCCGATCCAGTGCTTAGCAGTAGCCTGGACTCCGGCATCCTGGTGACCAGTGATGGTCTGCTCCATGGCAATACCGGTAAGGTAGGGGTCGGGGGAGAAGCCCTCCCAGTTTCTGCCGGAGTAGGCAGAGCGACCGAGAGGTCCGGCGACGGGGGAAAGGGCAACGTGAGCACCCTTGGCCTTGAACTCCTTGCCCATGGCGTAACCTCTCTCGTAGAGAATGTCCTTGTCCCAGGTGGCTGCGGCAGAGACACCTGCGGAGAAGACACTGGCGTAGTCGGCTACACGGATGGAAAGGGGTCCATCCTGAAGGCAGAGACCGTTGAAGCCGAGGCGGGGGACAGCGACGATGTTACCGACGCAGGGTCCGGGCTGGCCAGTGACCATGTCGGCCTTCTCCTCGATGGTCAACTCGGCGACGAAAGCCTTGGCCTTGGCCAAAGCATCCTCCCAGCCGTTACCGGTGGTGTTGGCTGAACATCATGTTAGCAGACGCTCTTGCGATGAGGTTCTGAGAGATACTCACGAGAGGGGTATACGGCCGGAGAGTGGCCATAGGGACCGAGAATGGTGGTGTTCAGAGGCTGAACGTATTCGAAGGCGTCTTCGCCGCGTTCGCCGGCTTCGTAGGCCTGGCCGTTGACAGCCGGAGCCAACAGAAGGCCGGAAAGGATGAGAGACAGAGCGGCGGTCATCTTGAGAACCCTTTGAGTTGAGGTCTGGCGCTTGTGCTGAAGATCCAAGAGCCTCATCTCACGGGGTTACATGACTCTCTTTATACACCCTCGTCTTCTCCTCCGGCTCCCGACGTCAGTTCATCGTGATTTCCCAATTTTCCATGAGACCCGCGACCCGCGGAGGGCAGGGATCCGAACCATACCACCCTACTTTTGCCTGCCCTCGCACTATCCATCATCCGAGTTCAATATGGCCCCTCCGAGGACAAGGCCGACGACATGGACCTTCCTTCCCACATCACCGGGCCCCGCGCGGGGGACTGCAAAGGTCGGTGAAAGCAGCGTGACCGAGGCCTCATTGGTAATCCAAGTCGTCATGGCACGGAAGTCGGCCCCACACCGGTCGTCACCCGAAGGGCCAAGGTGGGATTCTAGATGAAGTTCGGAGAGTGTTACTACCCGTAGATTAACCAGTAGCCAGAGAAACGGAACAGACCGGCCAGCCTTCCCACACGTGGGGGAGGCGGAATGCTGCCGAGCCCCTGGTTTTCGATGCTGGTGACCACACATCGTCATATGGGGTGTGGAGATCCAATACCGGCCATGACTAGTGATCCAGGCGTAGCCTCAGCCGTAACGAGACAATGTTGAGTCATTGGTCCTTCTAGAAAGAGATCTGCTCCAGAGGGCTTTGCTAGGCATGCACCGCTCGAGGCTGCGGCCAACAATCGGACTTCAAAACTGCGTTCCATGCCTAAACCCGCGCAATCACAGTAGCTTGACATGCTGTCCGAGCAGTAGCAAAGACCGTATCGGTGCTTGGCGCTGTCATGTCGGGGCTTCCGTCGCAGCACTAGAAGTTGAAAATTCCGGAGAACTGCCGCTGCGAGTGACAGGGAAGACGAGCCGTTGCTGTGGGGAAGGCGGATCGGGTGACAGCTTGGAAACCTGGAGAATTCAGCAAGCTTGTTTTTCGTGCGTGTGGCCATCGACCGGGTCCCGACCTTAAACCCAGCCTCCCCTCCCCGCCCCCGCCGTCGAAGAAAATTGAAGTGGGCAAGGCTTCGTGTGGAGGTCCGACATTGCGCCGGCACTAGCAGGACCGGAGTGCAGGACTCTTCACAGAAAATTTCTCGTGATGGCGGTTGGAGTAGCATGTTTTGGGGAACAAGACGGTGTCCGGGGCCAAAGCCGTGGAACTGGTCGACCCAAACCGGAGGAAAACGATATGCCCTCCCCAGTTTTCCCCGCACATGTAATCGGCCCTGTTCTGTCGTCCTTGGGCCACCCGTCATGCTACTACCCCAATGTTTATGACCTGCGGAGTGCATTTCCGCATCTGATATGTAATGGAAAAGCAGAACTGCGCCTGCGAACAGCCTGCCGGCGGCAGAACACCGGCACATTGGGCAACGGATCGTCCGATTGGCGCAGGGAGCGGCCTTGGGTGCTGTTGTCCCTCCCTCCTTGCCTGTTTCCAGGAATCGGGAAATCGGGGAACGCGTGACGAGGACAGGTTGAGAAGGGGTAATGCTTTCGCGGTGTGGCAGGTCTCGTGACGAGGATACGTCATGTCAATACCACGCGGAGAGAATACCGGCAATTAGAACCGTAAAGAGGAATTTGTGGGTTATTAGGCCCCCATCGAGCAGTTCAAGCAGACCACTCCCATGGGGAAGCACTTGAGTTTTGTGGAGTTGACCCATGCAACAATTGGAGAGCTTTGGAGAACCCCATTTTCTTTTTAGCGGAGAGGGTTTGTCAGCCCTTTGAAGTTTTTCTTGAGCTCGTGAGCAAAACATGAGGTGAGGGCTCACGTTGTGGGAATGGAAGTTTTCGGCGCTGTGAAAATTTGGCCGGGCCTGTTAACCTCGGGTATTGGCGCTGGTCGCATGATGGAATTGTGGATTTGCCATTTCCACCACAACGGCTCTTCAGCTGTTCGTGATCAATCGTCTGTTTATTCCCGGACTTTGGAATAGGCCCGACAATTCAAGCCTGATTGCGTTCCCAGTTTGATCATGACTTCCCGCTTTTCAGCCGGCCTAAACTCGGCGGCATGGCAAGTGAGGTGCAGACCGTAGACGTCGAAGATGCGCTTCAGGTTGCCTTGGGATTATCATCAAGGTACTACATTCATGATGTCTAGTGCTACGAAATATTGGTTGATTCCCCATCCATCGAGCCAGACAATCAAAAGCAGCTCTTCGTTCGGGCTTCATTCTTGCTTTGCTCAAACGTTGCGCAATTTTCGTACCAGACGCTAGCACTGGGTGTTTCCCCCACATCGCGATGCCGGTTACGACCTCGGCAATAGAGTCTGGCTTACTTCCATGGAATGATGCTCTCACACACTTTCAGCTTTTCGTTATCATAAATAATGTTTTTTTTGCATTCCTAGCATGGTTCACTCAAACTGGAGTGACTGACACGGATCTCCGAGGAAACTGTACTGTTGTATTCCGATCTTATGATCGGGGCTCCATGCACAGCACAGACAGTTTCCCATCGTTACAGTAGGAGTGCAGATTCGATCAACTCCGCTTTTTAAGCTTGACGTGTCTCAGACATAATAGCCAACATCCATCTAGCATTCAGCACAGGTCTATCTACTTACTTGGTTGGCCATTGAAGCATTGGCTGTTCCTGTCATTGGTCTGACGAACGGCGTGATCTCAGATCTCTGGGACCTGGATCTGCGTAGATGAAAACGAGAGCCAATTGACATCGTGTCCTGTAAGTTCCCGTGTTTAGCTGCATAACGGGTGCATGTTTGGTCATCTGGCCACGAATCAACGAATAGCCCGACGGCTTCAGGCATGTGTCATTAATAATTGTCTTGTTACAACGTCAGGGTCTATGTAATTACTGTCCTTACACGTGATTCCGACAAATGACGCTCGCGGGGACCCATGGAGATTGGAGACCTGGGCAGAATATTTAAAGAGCCACTTCCTGTCGACAACGACCCATGACTAAGTAAAGTATTTGAGATATCGTAGCATTGGGCCAGATTGGCGAGATGTCACACTCCATACATGATCAAAGGTAGCCGGGATGGCTTGTTCGGGGGATCAGAACCAGGGGCGGCTGAGTGCTACGTTGTCGATTTGATGGCTCGACATCAAAAGTGATCGATCATTTGGGTGTAAACGAAAAGGAAAGAGTCCGGCGACGCAATCTGTTGCTTGATTTTGAATGATATCAAGACCACGATGATGCAGTTCCTGATACACACACTTTGCATCTTCAAAAACGCAAGGTATCTCGAAATATCAAAAGCCAAGAGCAACATGGCCCAATTTTCCAAATCTGTCAATTTATCTACGAAAAAACCGAACCGTACTTCTATACAGTATTGAAGCAGAAGGCGTCTCACGACCAGTGTTGATTTGATCGTGATCGGAAAATACATGTATTCGCTAAGGCCAGAGATTTCAAATATTTGATGTGAATTAATATGCACTTTTGGCAAGATATTACTATAAAAATGCTCAACACGCTGGATCGCTGGGTTGGACTCTGAGGTGGCCTTTCAGGCAGAGCTTTGAGCGGCCTTGATGATGACCTCACTGGCCTTCTCGGAAACGATATACAGGGGCAAGGCAATGTAGAAACCAGGGATCTTGGGGAAGACACTGGCATCAACAACTCTCAGTCCCTCAGTGCCGCGAACCTTGAACTCGGAGTCAAGGACCGCGTTGGGGTCGCTGTCGGGTCCGATGGGGCAGGTGCACGAAGCGTGGTGTCCCCACGTCTCGTCCTTCAAGAACTGCTTGGTGGCATCCTCACTGGTGACATTGGTTCCAGGCCAGACTTCAGGGAAGCTTCCATCAAGGGGAATCAGGTCAGAGAACGCGCGGCGACCGAACTCGAAGCCCTCGTAGGTGGCCTGAAGATCCTTGTCGGCCTCACCAGCGCTGTTGACTCCCGCGTCGTAGTAGTTGAAGTTGATGAGAGGCATATCACGGGGATCAGTTGACTTGAGAGTGACGGTACCGGCGTTGTTGCGGCTGTGGGCCTTCAAGACGATCCAAGCCCAGTGCTGGGCGTCGGCAAGAGAATCGGAGGCATAGCCGGGGAAGTAGCCTTTGAACTTCGCGGGGGCACCAGAAACGAGCAGATCAGGCTCATCCTCGGCGACGGAAGACTTGAGAATGATGGCGATGGCGATACCGTTGGTGGCGTAGACTCCCTTGCTGATGGGCTCGAGACCCTTCTGGTACTGCTCGAGGCAAGGATCAGGAGACGTCTCTCCAAAGGTGCACTTAGAAGTGATGACGAAGTCGCTGGTGGTCTTGCCGATCACGGTAGCCTCATAGCGATCCTGCATGTTCGTTCCGACACCGGGAAGGTCGACGATAGTGGTGATGTTGAAAGACTCAAGCTCCTTCTTGGGACCAACACCGCTGAGCTTTAGAAGCTGAGGGGTGTTGAAGGCACCCGCAGAGATGACGACCTCCTTCTTAGCACTGACACTACCGGTACCAGTTGAGGTGGCCGATCCGGAACGGGGGTCAGCACGGTACAGGCTCGCGCCCTCCATGAAGTCAACACCAGTAGCGCGGGGCTTGTCGCCACTCTGGTCAAAGTTGATCTTGGTAACCTGATCGGATATTAGCATCGTGAAAACAAAGAGATAATCACGATAGGTCACTTACCAGGGTGTTCAGCTTGACGTCAAGGTGATACTTGCGAGAACCATCAGAGTTCACGGCGTTGGCAGTGTTCAGGATAAGGTCGCGAGGACCGCCACGAATAGAGTCGGTCATGGCCAGAGGAACCTGGTAGAGACCAGTCTGGCTAGCCTGGCCAGGAGCGTTGATATCACGAAGCAACACCTGGCCAAGTCCAACAACGGTGCTGACGAGAGCGGTGAGGAGGGACTTGCCCATGGCGGTTCCGGCGGCAATGATCAAGGACAATAGCTTTTGATCCTCAACGACAAGGGACAGCGAAGTCAGAGAAAGACCGAGCCAGCCAGAGAAGCCGTGGCCGACAACGCTGTTAGGCAGGTACTGAGCGTTCTCAATCTTCTTGAAGTGTTCTCTCATGTTCGTTGCGCTCCAGGAATCGTCACCGGTGAGAGTGGCGATGTTGTCCCAGTCAGAGTCGTGGGCTGCGATACTGATGAGGGCGTTGTGACGAGAGCAGCTGGAACTCGTTAGTCATCCTCGTTTTCCATCTCAAAGATATCCTTTCAACATACCCGCCCAAGGTTCCTGTGCGAGGATACCAGACACCGAGAGGGTCAGCCTCAGCCGGGGGCTCAAGACCAACGTAGAAGCTGCCATCAGGCATCTGATACGTCATCTTCGAATCGCGCTTCTGCTGCTCGAGATCGGGGTAGTGGTTGACGAAATAGTTCCACCTGGTGTCCTCAAATTCGGTCGACATGAGATGCATGGCCGGGACCTTCTCCGTCCAGCTATCGCCAGAGTCACCACCGGCATCGATCAAGAGCACCTTGAAGCCAGCAATGGCGAGGTTAGCAGCCACCGGGCCACCACCAGGGCCAGATCCAACGATGACATAGTCATAGTCATCGAGAGTGCCGTTGTCAGCACGCCTGCCGATGAAGGGATCATGGCGAGCCTGGTTCTTGGGTGCCCTCCAAGGAACCGCACTGCGTCACACAAAGTCAGCTATGAAATATCGCCAACGCCAGTATAGCACTGCCTTACAAAGCAGAGGCCGAATCGGCCAGTAACGAAACGAATGTGAGAGCGAGTGTGGCGCGCATCGTGAGTTGCGGGTATAAATGAGTGACAATAGGTGGGCCTTGGAAAAAGAATGAATGACTCTCAACAAGTCATCTGCAGCTTGACTGACGATCGATGACTCGAGGAAACTAGACCGACGGCTACTTCAAGACTGCTTCGAGACGATCCGAAGATAAAACGAAGCAAACTCCTCGAAGCTTAAAGGAATCTGCCAAGCGGCATGCCGAGGTCCTTTCAGCCTTGCCCCTAAGATGCCCAGTTGCGCTAGGCGTTGGTGGTCGTCGCAACAGTCCGATACGACAATTCAAAAGGGGTAGTGGCCGCGAGTTCCATTTTTCCTGCCAGGAGTGCAAGTCGATCTTTCCTGAGTTGCGGTTGTTGCGTGGACAAGGTTCTCCACCGCCATCTCTGGTCTGCGGGATTACGGCATTCTCTGAAGTCGAGATTGCGTCTCGCCACGAGGCCGCCTCCCCCGTTCCCTGATCTTGGTGGACCCTTTCATAACGACACAGGGGTTTGTGAAAGGCGAGATGAGCGTTTCGTCGCCGCCGACGCAAGCGGCTTGCGCTAAAACAGTCGGGATCCTGAGAAACAACTCTGTTCGGCACCCCAGTTGCTGTATTATGAGTTATCATCGGATTATATTATGCGCTAACCTTTGACAGCCAACAGCGTGGCCTGATACTGACTCTCGGACGCGTCCAACAACCCGTTTAGCCCGAAAACTGAAGCCAAGCCGATTATCTAAGGACTTTGTCTCACGATAATCGGCATAAGTCAGTCCATTCACATCCATAAGGGGCTGCGAAGTGCCGCTCGCTGGACGATACAGGGAGGTTGACTCATGCCGACTTGGGCAGAACTTCACTCCAGTCTGCATGCGAGCGGATGGCGTTGGAGCCGATCGTAATGACAGAGAAAATGACACAGACAGGGCCTGAAAAATGTGGTAGCACTGGACGTGGCCCCCACGACAGGCCACTTGAACCTTCGAGAAATAATCGCAACTCTGCAAAAGGTAAGAGATAGAGGGTCTCACTCAGCTTTTGCCAGGGTTGATGAAAAGAGGTGAAGAGCCTGAGAGCCCAAGCGTCTAAGACAGTTAAGATCGGCACTTGTTGAGGAGACCCTTGCCAGCATCCTTGCTAGGCTGATGCAACGGCTTTTCCCCCACTGGCCCAGTTGACAGGTCCCCACTTGGTGGGCATCCTTCCAACGAGGCCTCACTGGACGACATCAAATCTCGAAGAACCCGATCCTGTCGGATGTTACCTGCCTTGCATCTCTTTGAGGAACCTGGCGTCCGCGGGCCTCATCGGACCTGCAGATGAGGATGTGGGATACCGATCTAGACAGGTTTGATTTGCGAAAGAGAGCAAGGGGTACGGATTCGGTGACGGGGAATGCTCCGATAAAGCACTGCACTTGAAGCGTGGATAATGTCGATAACGACTGATTACTAGTCTACTATGTGGTATCTCAAAAGAACGCTCATGATGTCTATAATTACATTAACGGAAGTACTTTTTTTCGTGGGCTCTCTCCTTCCAGCTTGGAGCCATAATGATATGTGGCCAAAAATAACAAAGGAATGAGAATCGAACCATCACACAGATTCATGTGGTGTGGCCAATTTCCTGTCGGATGATGGCCGCGATGATGAGTGTTCGTTCGTGAATGGTGTGTGGTTGAGCTCGATGAATGACGCGTCGTCTCCACGTTTTGACCTGATCGTGAACTCCTTCTTGACTCGGATCGCCTTGAGAGAGGACGCCTTCGAAGAAAGTTTGTTCGAACTTGACAGAGGCTTCTGGTTTGAACCCGAGAGATTGGCGTAGTTGGACTTTTGCTGTGTAGTCCCGAAAACCTTGGGGAAGACCAGACTGAACAAAGAGCGAATCGCGGGCATGCATGCGCAGATGATGCCGACTGGGACCTCGATGGTACTCCAGTAGCCGACCTCCACATAATCCTGGGTGACGTTGCTGGTGGTGGCATAGCTGGCCAGAGACTGCAGTCTGACAACACTGACAATGGTGACACTGGTTGATGTTAGACCTGGAAAAGACAAAGCTGCTGAGAAAACAACTTACAAGAAACCGACGCTGAACATGAGCATGATCTGGATCTTCTTCTTCATGGACATTGAGAGCTTGTAAAGCTCACCCAGAGGGAGAATCATGGTACCGAGATCAAGAAGGATGTTGAAGACTGCCGCTGCCCATCCCTGAATGTTGATGTTGTTGCACTTGGCCTGGTACTCTCCGTCCCATGCCCTCCACGCACCATCGATAGGCCGGCATTGAAAGATCGAGATCAGCTCGAAGACAATAAAGTACGCCACATTGAGTCCGATCATAACGTATGTCGCAATTCTGATCTCCCTGCGGGGAAAGATCTTGAGATAGAATAGCAAGATCGAGATCTTGGTGACTGGCAATGCTCCCAGGTAAAGCAACTCGTCCCAGTAAAACAGCTAGACTCCTTGTCAGTCATAAAATTGCAACGCAAACAGGAGATATGCTCACGTAGAGAAACTTCGTGACGTCATCAGGACTGACATTCCACATGTCTTTTCCAAGAGCAACTTGCGAAACTAAACGATTGTCAATGTTTGCTACAAACGCGGCCGTTTGCTGTTTGCAACTTACTGGGAATGGACAATGCGTTGAGGGGTATCATCATGCCCACAGCAATCAACATGACCCAGTCGTCAGGTCCCCATGTCTGGGCACCGAGGCATAGTCTGGCCATCACTCTCAAACCGAAGCCCAAAAGGCCGAGTACGAGGAACACAACACCAATGACCCATACTTCTTTCGTTCGGTCTCTTGATGGCGCATTACATGTGTGCTTGGAGTAACTTTGCACAACTGGAAGATGTCAGTGATGCATGATCTTGATAAAATAAAACCTGGAAAAATGACTTACGCAGTGCCTCTCGTACCGTACAGCTCTCATGCACGCAGAGCGAGATCTTCGCATTCAACTCAACGTTGGTACAGATACAGGTGGCATTCGTGAGGGAGCACGTCGACTGCAGTGTTTCTTGTTGGATGCATTTCAGCTATGGCATATCAGTCAGTGCACGATCGACATCTTTCGCGAAGGAAACATACACCGCATAAGGGAGGTGTCTCCGTGGACGCTGCCGCCGAGGTGGTGGTGGTGGTCGCCCCCACTACCACCTGGACGCCGAATGAAACCAACGCAGCAAATGTAAGGAATCTCATCTTCACGTCTTCACCAAAAGATAAGAACAGACAAGAATACGAAGAACAAGAAGAAAATGAAAGGAGGGAATGGTGATCAAAAACCGTGTGTTGAATACCAGGCGATGTCAGTTGTTTATTCAACTTCGCTCTTCCCGGAAGGAAATCCCCATCCGGGGCATCCTTTCTATCTGCCGACGAGGCGAGAGGCGTAAGGCCAAGCCATCCTAGCCCCCAAAGGCTTCCCGTTTCGACGAAGATTGGCCCAGGCTGGTTCCAGTATGTTGGTAGGGAACAGGGTTTGATCAAGGCAATTGCATGTTCATCCAAATCGTTGGTTCGGCAGGCCTCCTCTGTGGGTGGAAAAGGCGGTGGAATCGGCCCCTCTGCGATTCTGTGTCGAAAATCACAATTCCGGCCTGTCTTATCCATGCAACTCCCTGTAAGTCGCCTATATGCGCCCTAGTGGGTTTTTCGAGAATGCAACTCTTTGGAAATCTCGAACGAATTTCAAAAGAAGGAATGGATCTCGCCAGAATTGTATTCCATGAGAGCAAGTTTCCCAAATCGAACAGCATTGCAACATGAGCAGTCAAGGGGCACCAGACTAGCGAGCTCATCATCAGTCAGATTGACCAGGTAGTGTTTCGGAGCCCTGCCGCCTAGCCACGTGCCCGCTTTGGGTACTGGAGCCGGCAACTGGTCAGGAGCCTCGTATCTCAAAGAGTCGAAAAAGTCCACAGAGGGCTGTCCGGATTGTGGGTTGTGCTCAATGAAAATGGGCGATGTCGCGAGCCCCAGAGCTGTGGATGTCGTCGAGACCCACCTCATCTGGCTACCCCTTGCCGAACGAATCGCTGCTTTTCTTGGGCGACTGTCGCGTACAGCGGTCTCAGGGTTGAAAGAAATAAGACGCCGTATTAATTGAACGTTGACAGAAATTAAGTCGCATAAACTCCGAGCCTTTTTATCAAATCCAAAGGTTATTCGCCATGCGGAAGTTTCAGCCCCGATGTTCACAGTTCGTGAACCATTGCATGTTGTTTGCTCGAGCTTTCGTGTTCCGTGCCATGGTACTGGGACCAGGTTGGTTGGAGAGGCTGCATCCTGCAGGGGCTGCAGCGATGTGCCCTGTTTTGGAGAACGACCAGGACGGCCGGGAGGAAGACGCCGCTTCCGCCCTTGGATCAGCGCTTCTGCAGGTTGATCGACAGCTTCATAACGAACTTGCTTTTATCCTTTCACAACGGCTTGCGAAACTTTCTGAATGCACCGCCGGTGACACCGTTGAACTTTGGGGGCTACAGAGTTCGAAAATGGGGTCATCGGGGAATTTGATTGCAGATCAACGCTGAGCCAAGATTGTGACATTGGCATTGCCCGATAGGAAAAAGGAGGTTCGTTAGGTTATTGCAAGGTTACGTTGACAGGCTGACAGCTCTCTAGGGTCTTGGGGTTTTGTACCGGGGTCCGTCTGAGCAACAGGCCTAGTGCATCTTTTGCACAGACTGAACAATAACTTGTGCCATGGGCTTGGAAATGACCAATCAAGAGGCCTGCGATTTGAGGATCTCTTGTGCTGGCGATCTTTACTTCCCATGAGAATGAGAGTGGGAAACACGGCCTCGTTCCTCGTCACTGCGTGTCGCTCCTTTCCTATCCAAGGAGAAACCTAGGTTCACAGATTCTGCGCTTACCGGGAACCTCGGCACCTGAGCCGTCGATGCCGTTTCTAAAAGGAACGACCAAGAAGATTGTTTCGATTTCCAATCTTTTACCTTTCCAGAGGGTTATGACATCTTGCGGATGCCATCATTATCATACGTCACTCGTTAACAAACCAACACTTTCGCTTCTCACGTTCCTTTCATAGTCACGACACCATGAAGTCGCATTACTTTCTTTCTCTTTTGCCCTGCCTTAGCAGCGGCGTCCAAGCTTTCCCGGCTTACATGAACGGGCCCATCTCAGACGCTGTTGCTTCAAGACTTTCCGACAAGTTGGCCGGCGCATTCCACGAGGTTCACAAGAAGAGATTGTTGTTCGACCCTTTGACAGCTCCGATCGACGTCACCGGCGACCACGAGTTCATTGCTCCCGATTTCGAGAATGGCGACCAACGCGGACCATGTCCGGGTCTGAACGCCCTAGCGAACCACGGCTACATCGCACGCAACGGTGTTACGAGTTTGGTGGAGGTTACCGCGGGGATCAACACAATTTTCGGTATGGGTATCGATATCGCCTCCATTTTGGCAGTGATGGGCACTGTCTTTGTCGGAAACCCTCTGTCTCTGAACCCGGGCTTCTCCATCGGATACGAGTCTAGTGGTTCTCAAAACATTCTGGGCAACGTTCTTGGACTTCTCGGCACGCCCAGAGGTCTCAACGGCTCTCACAACATCATCGAGGGAGACTCGTCTCTTACCAGAGGCGACTTGTACATGACTGGTGATGCCACGACAATGGTCATGGACCAGTTCCAGACTTTCTACGATATGTCTTCAGGGGAGGGCGACTACAACTTCGACGTCTTCGGCGCTCGTGCTGCTGCACGCTTCAACGAGACCATTGCGACCAACCCCAACTTCTACTACGGCCCCTTTACCGGCATGATTGCACGAAATGCCGGTTATCTCTTTGCATGCCGCATGTTTGCCAACCATTCGGCTGAGAACCCCTCTGGTTTGTTGAGTAAGTATCTTGGGAGCTCACGAACTATGCAGTCCAAGAATGCTGACGTGATTCAGACAAGGAAACTCTCAAGAGCTTCTTCGCTGTTCAGGGCGAAGAGGGCAACCTGACGTACAACAAGGGCTGGGAGAGAATTCCTGATAACTGGTACCGTACGCCTGTTGACTACGGTCTGGTTCAACTTAACCTTGACCTCGTTTCTTGGGTTCTGAAGTACCCTGAACTCGGAAGGTACGCAAATCTGACAGACGTACACACATGTCCTTAAGTCATCTGCTAACACCAATACTACAGCATCGGCGGCAACATGGGTGAAGTCAACAGCTTTGCTGGAGTCAACCTCGGCGACCTGACCGGCGGAGTGCTCAACCTCACGAAGCTGCTGGAGAACAACAACCTCTTGTGTTTCGTCTTCGAGATTCTCAAGACCGCATCACCCAACTCCCTGTCTACTCTGTTCTCTATCATTGAGGTCCCCCTCAAGCTCGTGACGGACGCTGTTGGCGCGGCAGTATTGAATCTTGCCTGTCCCGCTTTCAAGGACATGATGGTTGGTGGAAAGAGTTTTGAGGACGGCATCAAGGATCAGTACCCTGGTGCTAAGCTCTCAGGAAACGTACTCTGATTTTCAGAAGACGCAGTGTCACTGCTAAGTCAGTGTTGATGCTCGCGATTTCACGATGCCGGACTTAGATGGAGAGACGCACTGATACCACAAGTAACGATGGAGAGCCGACTTGCCACTTGTATTCTTAATTATTTAATTTTCAAAAGCCTCAAAACGGGCTACAACTCTTGGTCTTTGTCACTTTCTTGTTTTTGACTCCATTTCCTGGTCATAAACTTTGTTAGGAGCATCAAACGTAGAAAGAATTAGAAATAAGAAGAGACCACATTGTGAGGCCAGCGGTCATATTTTGTATCTACGCCCTGTCTATCCAGGTTAGTGAATATTGGTGAGTATCGCCTTAATCATCGCAGGACCCGAATAAGAAAACAGGTTATTTGTAATGTTCATGCAATCTAAATACACTTCCAACAGAAAGATACATCAAGAAGATGCCGTCTTGCTCAGTGCGAAGGCAAATGGCAAGGGGCAGAGAAATCAAAGCCACACATCAGTCTCTCATAGTGCGATCACCGTTCACCCCAACTTCTGGTCGCCGACTTCAAATAAGCCTCCTCGATCACTGACACAGGATAAGACAGATTTGAAAACGTCCACGCTAGCGCTCAGCACCGTTGGCTCTCATCTGCGGTGTCGACAAGTTGGACCATGACATTCCAGTTGTCGGTTTTGTGAAAGGCTTGCCCGCTGGCCAAGTATTCGAAGTACGGCGGTCCAGTACACTTCCTGTAGCCAGCTTCCGCGCCATCGGCAATATGGCGATAGGTGTCAAGAATCTTCTGCTTTGTCTGTGACACAGGTGTTAGAGCTTCTACCTATAACATTAGACTGAGGGGGTGCTTGTGATTCTTACATCATCGTTGCAAAACCAGATACCCATGTTCTGAGAAGTCTTTAGTGAACGAGCATCTTCAATGGTCACAACCATTGCTTACCCAGGAGCAACTGACACGGCCACTATTAATAGAAGTTAGTAACGTTGAACGCCTTCTTAGATAAGACAGACTTACCAGCTTCCAGGGCCGGGACCTCCCACAGGTTTGCCGGGGACCCTGCGCAAGTATTTGACGCCATCCCACCATGCTGAGACACTTCCTTCTTTGAGTTTCTGACACTGGACGTCGAAGTCTCCCAAAGGCAATGGATCCGTCGGATCGTTGGCCAGCACGGAGGAATAGTTTGCCTCTAGGTGCAAAGCGTGTACCATCTCCGGCCTGATGGCCTCAAGCTGACGAACAACTTCTTGGACGGAGCCGTTGAAGTGTTCGCCATCAATATCCCACTCAGGCTCCCAGACATCATATCCTTCAATGGGAGCCTTGAGGGCTTGAGTCTACGAATGATCAGTTTGGATTCCCACGCCGCACAGACAGGTATTCCTACCATGAACGCCAAGGGGGCGGAAAGAGCGATGAAGTTGGCAATGCGCATGTTGAAGGTGAATTGATTGTGCGAAGCGATTTCAGTACTTTCAGTGTGGTAGAAAGGATGCTAGACTCTGGTGAAGATGAAGATGTGTAGGTCATAGAGTAGATGGAGGAGAGGCTTCTCATTTATATTTCATTGTGTAGCCAAGAAACAGTTTGTTGATACCTTATCTTTCGCAGGGGCAGTCCATCTCAAGCGCGCCAAGTGCTTGAGTTCAATAACCGATCTCTGCCTGATTGTCGAGTCCACTGTCCGGACGTTTCTTGGAAAG